GTTTACAATATTGTCTATCATTATTAAAAGTTGCCCAAGATAAAATGGGCCAAAGATTTTGATAAAATATATTCCTATTATGAATATAATGAGGCTTTTTGACATTTAAGAACTTATGGATTGAGTCAAATGATACAAAAAATACTTTCAATTCAAAATATATTAATAAAAAAAGCCCGAAAAATGTTGTCAAGAGGATTATATAATCAAGCTCAAACTGAAAATATAATATTAATTGATTAGATTTAACATATTATAATAAAGAAATACTAGAATAGATATTTATTTTTCTTTTGGTGAAACATTGCTAAGTTCAATACAAATAACATTGAATTGAATGTTTTAATTATAATAAAGAAAGTCAAAATACATTATAAAGACTTAATTATTAGTTATTACACTTACATTTTTTATAAATACTCTTCTTTTGAAAATTAAACTAATATAATAGTAATATTAAAAAATAAATGCCTAATTATTATATATAAATAACAAAACCAAGTCTCTTCATCAAATATTTTATTAATTATACTGTATCTAATAATTCATTTTTTTTATAAAGAATCTGTATCTAGATTCTATTTCTGTAGGACCTGCTCAACTCAGGAATGTAATAAATTAAATTTAAACATGTTGACATTAAGATTATCAAATAAAAAAAATTTAAAAGAATTACTTGTAAATGTCTCTTTAAGTTCGAGGATGATATTTTGGAAGATGATATTATCTTCTTACAGAGACGGCATTTGGTGCTGATCATATTATAAGAGTTGCTTTCATCCATTTCACATAAAATAAAATACTTACGTAATTTCAAAAATGGTAAAAGATTCTCATTCTCACTTATATCTGCTGTTACATCAACAATAGAATCTTCTAAATCTATAATGGACATTTACATTTACCTATTAAAATAAATATTAATATATTATTATAAATTTATATTAAATAACTTGTAAGAGCTCTAAATCTCGTAAAATTTAGGAAATGAATAAATACAGGCGCATACGCAGGAATTTGGTCCGGGGGGGGGGGGGGGATAATAAAATTTTTTAAGAAATATATTGTTTTTTAAAAATATCAAGCATAAATTTATTAGGACTAATAACTATTTCTAATACACAATTTTAAATTAATGTGAATTATAAAAAAATTATATGTAAAGAATCACTTAAATGACCCAAAATAGAAATTTGAATTTTTTGAGCCTTTATACAAAAAGTTTCTTAGGAATAATTGAATTTTGTATGTTATATATTTACGATGTAAAATTCAATCTTCGTTGTGATTGAGCTAATTTTTCAATTATCTCATCCTTGCTTGTCGTCGAATGCCTATGAATATTCACATCCAAACCTTTCAATCTACTTTCAGATGTTGTACTTCTTGGTATGTTTTTCAGAGACTTGCAGGCCCGGCCCCCAAGCCGTACAGTATTTTAATTTTTTTACATGTACCCGGGCCGGGCCCGAAATTTTTTTAAAAAAACACCCAATCCGAGCTGTATTTTTTAAAACAGCTTATATTTGAAATCGTTATTATTAGCTATAAAAATCAAAAATAAGTATAATTTATTTTTAAAAAATCAAGGCCGGGCCTGAAAATTTTATTTTAAAAAAAGCCGAGTCGGGCCTAAAAATTTTTTTTAAAAAAGCTGGACCGGGTCTGAAAATTTTTAAAAAAAATCCAGGCCATGCGGTAAAAAATCTTTTAAAAAAATCCGGGCCGTGCCCTGCAAATGGTACTTCTGCAGGCCTCTGTTATTCTTCTTAAAAAAGAGAATGTTCTCTCCTTAGTTTACTAATGGGAAGAGTTTATAAACCCTTTTAATACATTGGGAATTTAATCTAAAATATGTTTGAAATAATGCAGAGCATCCATAGCTGGGACTATATCAACCATAGTTAATCTTATAAACATAGTTATTCAGCTAATAAGGCATCATAAGATACTTTAACATCTTCATAATAAAAATCTAACAAATATTTTTTTTTCTATCACCATCTGAAAAAGATTAGGAAGGCTTTTGTGGAAGTAATATTTGCAGATTAGTAAGTGCTGCAGGATGAATTAAAAATTCATTTATTTGGGTTATAAATGTATCTGTATTTAAGATATACTCTTCTACTGATCCTATATTAATGTTTTAACGATGAGCCTGCCTTGTTACAAGTCGAGGGAGACAAATATTAAATAAAATATAAAATATGAAATTCTTCATCAACATTAGCCCTAATTTCCTTGAGTTCTGATAAAATGCTCTCCGCTATTCTCATCTTCTTAATCAAGTCAATGTCATGTTTTTGAAAAGTAATACTTGTATAATTAAATAATACATTCTAATGAGAAATAAAATTTGGAATAAGCTTTGAATCCAATAATTTTCTCCCTTCTGAGGAAATATTTCTTTCAGGCCATTGTGATATTTCAGTAATAGCAAATAATTGGCTCTTCTAACTCCTTAAAAGCTGTTACTGCTTGATGGCAGAGACTCTATCTCGTTGGACAAGATTGCAATTTCTTTTTCCCTGATGGACAAGAAGTTTCATAAATAATTATTATTTGACTATAAATTTGAAAATGGTAGATAAATGTTACGCCACTAAAATTTGAAAATAATAAGTAAATATTACGCCGGAAAACTTAAAATCGAAATTAATTGATAAAATAACTTAGTAGATAAATGTGATAATAAATGTAATTAAATATTTAATATGAGATAGGAATAAATATTAACAAATATAATTAATATAAACAATAATATTTTTGAAAAATATATCCGACATCTGCATTTTTTAGCTTTCCCCGCTGCGTACGCGCCTGAATAAATATATGTATAAAATAAATGGTGGAATGGAAGTTGATAATGGAATAAAATATGAAGATGGATATTTTTTTAAAAAATAATATTTTAATTTAATTTTCAAAATTTTTATTTTATTAATTGCTTTTTAAGTAAAAAATTAATTTTTAAAAAGATCGGGATCGAATTTTAAACAAAATGATATCGATCTCGATCCTCAATTTAAATCAGAATCATAAATCGTAAAATTGACAAATTTGCGATCGAATCCAGGATCGTCGATCTTTTGATTCGATCTTTTAACAACTCTGCAAAATATATTAAAATGCAATGAGAGCTACTTATTTAAGGAATAAGATGTTTGAGTCGATCTACTATATATCAACCCCCCCCCCTAGGATGGAATCACCAAGTTGGCTTCAGAAAAAAGAATGATCTTTATTGAATTAAATGAATTATCGGCTTGGCAACCGAAGCTCTTTCGATTAGGTCACAGACACTTACCGAAAATCACAATTTTTTGAGTATATACTATAATCAAATTTGACAATATCTAAATGAAAAATAAACAAATCCCAATTTGAAGATTCTCCCTTAGACATTACCTATTATCATACATAAACCCATTCCATTGTCAATAGCTGATACGAGAATAGGGCCAATACGTGATACGTGATAAAAGCATTTTCGCCCTCTAGTTGTGGGACAACAGAGCTACGCTAGGTTTTCCTCAAAACCCATCAAACTGGATAGTTAATTAGGGGAAGAAAAATGAGGAGCCCTTCACACGTTTGTGGGCAAGCCGCACGTACTTGTAGGCGCAACTTTTCGAAAAAAGCTGCTTAAACCTCTATAGGCTTAGTAAAAAAGAGTGGGGTAAAAAAGAGCCTATACCCAAAAACTACAGTATAATTTAATTACTTTATAGGTGGGTGATGGCTGATTTTAAGTTTAAATTCTTTAATGTAAGTTTTGATGATTACTATCACTATTGAGATTTAATGTTCATAGAATCTGTAAATAAATATGATTAAAATAAAAAAATTTGCCTGAACAGTAGATATAGTTTTATTTTTTTATTAATGATTCAACCCATACAATACAGTAATCATAGTCTATGTTCAATTTAATGTAACCATTTAGGCTTCTAAGGGAATTGAGTGTGATAAAAATATTTAGTTTTAGATGATCCTTTGCTCTTATAAATTACAAAAGGATGTAGATATATACAATCATGAGTGGAATGAAATGTTCAATAACCTAATTGTGTGATCTTTTGGTTCTTATATTTACAAAAATAAGGAATTCAATATATCTAATTGTTGTGACCCTTCACTTAACTTTGGATCTGATATACTCAACAATTTAAAATAGATCAAATGTAACCATTCCAGTTTGGAAGGTATATGTGTAAGTAAACTTATAATTGCAAAGGGAAGTGTAGAATATTATAATAAATCTAATTGTATGGTTATTTTTATACTTAGTAAGTGGAATAAAAAATTTCAATATAAAATTGCATGTCTTTTAATCCTTATAAAGAATTATTCTATGTATAATCAAGAGTGGAATGAAATGTTCAATAACCAAATTGTGTGGTCATTTAGATCTATCTGATATACACAACAAAGTTAAAATAGATCAAATGTAACTATTCCAGTTTAAAGGTATATGTGTAAAAAAAGATGTATTTATCTACATTATATTTAATAAATGCTACTTTCTTAAAAGAGATTTATAGATGCAATATCATTACAGTTCTAAAAACATGTCCATAATTAGGGTTCCACAGGTACCAAAACCTTTCTTTAGGTGTAACTAAGGGATTCACAAATGCAAGATCATTACAGATCTATATATGTCCATAATTAGGACCAAAACCTTTCTTTAGATGTAACTATCTATGTACTGACGATGATTCTAATGTATATAAGATAAGATTCATGTTATAATTATAAATTTTATAAGTTGGAAGTACATAATTAACAAAATATCTAATCTTGAGGATGAAAATAATTCCATAGCTTTAAATATTCTTCATAGGACTTCAATTAGTGTTTACATGGCATAACCGCCACCAATGGTAAATATGTTGCATGCATAAAACCTTAACAGATTTTAATCATAGGGCCAATAATAATCTTCAATATAATGCTTCACTAACGCATCTAACATGTTTTGATTAACATTTCACATATCCAATTATGGCCACAACAGGTTTTTAAATTTTTAACTTATAATTATCAATAATTTTTAGTGAAAAATCTTTCTGAACAAAAATGCATGTCTTTATGCATTAATGACATAATAGCTCAACTTATCATAGCTCATAAAAAGAAACAAAATATTGATCTTACAAAGTAATATTATTTTTATTAAAATACCCCAAATATTAGTTTATATATAAAAGAGTATTATAAATATATTTTTTGTAGGTTAAAATGTCAAGCTTCAAATAAATATGGTTTGTCATTTCAACCAAAGTTATATGATATTATTAACGCAATTCCTCCAGAATATAAAACAGTACATATTGCAAAATATTAAAATTTATCATTCAGTTAATAAAATTTGTAGAACAAATATATTTATAATAAATTATTGAAATTTTATATATTAACATATTTTATATTTTTAATTGTTATTTAAAATTAGCAAGTTTGATATTTAAATATATCCATTATTTTGCACTTTTTTATTAATCTTTTTTTTTGTCCTAGGCCAGGCCTACCCAGTTATAGAAAGGCCTGACCCAATTTTAAAATATTGAATACAGATAAGTGACAAAAATTCAAAAACCTTTAATTTTTGTTTTTACCCAGTGCCAACCTACAGGGCTATAGTTGGAATAAAGGTGAAGGGGTGGAATATTGATGTACATAGTTATATTTTAAATTTATTGATCAAAAATATTTTGTAAATATTTAATTTTAAAAGAATATTCCCATTTATGGAATTTTTTATAGAACAAGATATTTTTTAGTTATCCAAAGCCGAAACAAGTATCAGTTTGAGTTAAGATAAAAAATAACATTTTCGGTTCGTTTATTTACTAACTTACATAATAATAATGACACATAGAAAAGCACTTTATTAACTTCAATATTGAATATTATTTACAAAAAAAAAATAGTATTGAGCCGTGCAATTAAAATATTTTCTACCTTAGTCAAATTACATTTCTATATGGATTAGTAAATTTTATTATTGAAAAACATCTCATTACACTAACTTAAGTAACCGGCATTGCTAATATAATATCAGAAAGTTTATATAATTAGGAGTATCAATTACTCTGATTTTGATGGTAGTCTAAGATATTAATTTATTTATTTATTTGAGGTTCCTTAGGAAAATTATAAAATATTTCTAATATTCCTTGATGTATCTAATATGATCATGTTTGTTCTTTACATGTTTATTCAAAAGGTTGTTGGCTTGATGACATCCTAATATTTTATTTTTTTTTATTTTGTTATGAATTTTTTTTAATTTTAGCTAGTTTATTATATATGATGATTTCTTCTTACGACGCTCAATACTTGCACCATGATGGTCTTTCATAATTGTATCACAGTCTATAACCTTACATTTGGATATATTGTTTTTCATGTATGATAGCTATACTTAAATAATTTATGTATTGGATTTTATTTATCCCTAAAAAGTGTACATACATAACAGTCAGCTTAGCATTGTCTTATTGATCATCATATTAATTCACATCATTTTATTGACTTGCAAGCTATAGGCGTTATAACTGACCCTATATATGTATACTTTTTTAAACACATTTAAATGCATGAACCATCTAGCAATATATATTAGCATCAATCTGTTTTTTCCCGACTATGTAATATTTTTACTATTTTTAATTTTTTTGAGCGCTTTTTTAAAAAAATTTAAACATCGGATTTTACCAGATTCTATCATGTTTATATTACCTATCTTATGAATTGTATAAAATTTTGTTGTTAACATCTGAGTAATTTATAATTTTTGTAAAAAAAAAATATATGGAAAATCTAATATAAATTATATTAAGTTTAAAAGTTCATGAATAAAATTGCCTGAAATTCATAGGGTAGGCTATTCCAAACATGATTAAATACATTTTCGGTAAAATCAACGGGCTCGAAGAATGATTTAAAGTTAAAAATAACACATTGACGCTAACATATACACATAATGCGCATTAATAAGTTATTTAAAATATTTAAAGTTATTTAAAAAATGTTGTAAAATAGCTAGTGTTGTTAAATGGCTTGTTTTATTTTTAAAAACGGCTAACTCAATATTTCATCCAGAATAATATTACACTAGCCTGAAGATTTTGTTTAGAAGGAACAAAAGTTTGGACATCTATTAAAAGCGGCTCAAACCGAGCCGTTTAACAACACTAAAAATAGCAATATTTGTGACTGATACCTATATCAAATTTGAATGATAATCATTTTTAAAATAATATGCGTATACCTTAGAATTTTGGCATTAGTAATAAATTTCACATTATTTTATAGGTATAAAATCATGATAAAATCGGTTCAGGAGCATTTTTATCGGTTCGGTTCAAATTCGGATAGAAAATGATTTATCGGGGTTCGGTTTGTATCCCTGATATTTTTTTTAAAAACAAATAAATATCGTTTTTTTTAAGAAATGGCACTGATTAATATCAAGAAAAAGAAAAACCGCACCCTCCATCATCGAATATATAGTGTCAATTAAGCGAATGTTTAGTATGTTCTATGACCACTATATGCTCATTAAGGCTGATAGATATAATATTAGATTTCCAAATTAACCCAAAAATTGTGAAAATTCTCTCCTCTTCTTGATTAAAATTCAACTAATTCTGATAATCGACAACTATAACTCTAACAGCAGTAGAGAAATGTTATCCTATACTGGAGAATTCAATTTAACCTTATTTTCGGAAGAATGGTAAAGAAGTAAAATCGTAAATAAAATTTATAATCATCATGCAACAAAGAAGGCATAATCGGGGGGGGGGGGGAAGAAATCCCCCCCTCTGGAATTTGCCTGGAAAAAAATGGTGTAAACCAAAAATTATTTTTATAAAATCGCCAAAGGCCTACAATAAGTAGACCTAAAGACCTCCAATAAAATTTTGGAGGGAAAACCTTACCTAATAGTGCCCCCCCCCCCTACAAAAGCCCTGGCCATGTCTATGAAAGAAGGAAAGACGTTAATATATCCTAAACCCCAAATATGGGGGCTGTTTCATTTTTTGGACATGATGTAATAAGATTATCCAGTTTTTATGGCAAAGGAGCATGAAAACAGCCCATATTTTATGACGAGAGGAGAATGCTCCTTTTGCAAATCATTTTTAAAAGCTGGCCTTAATGCCAATTTATTATCACTTGAATTAGTATCAACATTACATGATGGCTCTTCCTGATCACCTCTTTTTCTGAAATGTCTATATTATCTATAAGACTCCCAAACGCGAATTTCTCTTTTAGCCAATGTTTATGATGTTCACATCTTGTTATGTCAAGAGGATTATATATGTCATTTCATTTTGTTTTTCTTAAAACAATAGAATATAAAATCTTTCTAAGATTTTCCACGTCACCCGCCAGTATTTGGCATATGGCTCCTATATAAAATTCATGTATACGACATGATTCTCCTTTCAGATACTTCCACGTTGTTAGTAATTTATTTCGCTGTATGAGCCAAATCACAGCCCAGGAAGCAACGTGGCCTTTTTATCAACCCTGGATTAAAAAAAATGGCACGCCATGTTGTAAATATTTAAAGAGAAATATTCTGTAAAAATCTAGCCGATAATAAGGAATAGAGACATATCTGGGACTATTCTCGCCAAAATTTTAACTATATAGCTATACTTTCTATATCATGCCTTTCTGAAGGCATATTTTACAAGGAGTATCTATCTTATTTTTATTTGGGGATCTTTGACCACGACATCATAAAAATATTGAATTCACATACAATCTTTCAACATTGCATATCACGTCACCAGTGGTATCAATGGATATTTTTGATGTTTTTAAACAATAGGCCTTATAGACCTTCATCTGCTCTGAAGGACTTGAATAACTTAAAAACATTTTGTATTCTATTTATTATTGCCTGAAGCGAAACGGAAAGAAATGCCGTATATAATCCTCATGATATAACGAGATGTGAATATCACAAACTTTGGCTAAAAGAGAAAGTTGCATTTGGGAGTTTTATAAATAATATAGACATGAATTGTGGGCATGCGAAGAGCCATTATGCAACATTGTTTCAAATTCAAATGATAATAAATTAGCATTAATACAAGTTTTTAAAAAATGATATGCGAAAGGAGCATTCTCCCTTCATCGCAACATAATATGGGCCGATTTCACACATCTTTGCCCAAATAAACTGGACTGATCTAGCTAATATTTTAACATCTCAAAAATGGGTTGGATTATATCAGCTCATCTTCTGGAGTTTAATTTCCTTTTTTTGTTGCATTATTTATTATTAATTTTTTCCCATTCCTCCGAAGATAGGTTCAAAGTAAATTCTTAAGTGTAGGATATAGGGCTGTAGTTGTCGAACGATAAGAATGGACTGGATTAAGACCAAGCAGAGGTGATTCAGAATATTTTTCATAATGTTTTTGAGTCAATTTGGGATCTTACCATTATAGCGATCAACTTTAATGAGCGTATGGATATATTTTATAGCCATAGAATATGATAAACATTCGCTCAATCGGCACCATATATTTGATGGCGGAGGATGTGGATCTCCATTTTCCTTATATAAATAATTTGCATATTCTTTTTTAAAAATGGGAGTAGTTTGGAGATGATATTTTTCTTAATCGGTTCCATTTCTTGACAAATTTATTTGATTTTATTTAAAAGTATCTTAGCTAGCTATGCCACCTATAAGCACGTGTGCAGTGTGAGGGCTGGTTTTAGAACCTCGCATCTCATCTATTCTTCGTAATCGACCCGATCCGATAAAAAAAATTTTAAAAAATTACTATTTTTTTTTTAAAAAAAATAAGATTCCAAGTTATATTCAAATTTTTTGTCCCTCGCGCGGATTAATTTTTTTAATCCGACCCCATCCGAAAACATTTTCTCGGGGCCCGTGTTTCGCGGACCTCTAATGTAGAGTCTGTACTCTGATATATATTTGCTTAAAATATTTTACGAACGAGCTTATATACGTACCTTTAAATGGTATGCTAAACTGCGATTCCATCACTTTGCAATAGAGGAAACCATAGTCTAATTAATAATATTTTTTTTTAAAATGTATTTTTAAGGCTCTCCTGCCCCAATTGAAGGCCAAACCCATACGCACCGCTAGCGGAGTGAGCATTTATTCAATACATTTCTTTTAATTCAATTTTTCTTTGCCTTATTTTCAAGGTATTTTATAAATTTAAAGGTCTTTACAGACCCAATCCAACATTTTTTGCTGATTATCAGCCAAAACTGATTCATTTCTGATAAATAAATAGGGTTAAAAAAAATTAAAATAGAAAGATCTACTTGAAGCATTTCCTAATTAAATTTAAATAAAAACGATTATGAAGGAAAGAAAGTATACGTAGTCAATGGTATTAATACTAAATAGACTGATCATTTATTAATTAAAAGTATACCTACATTGGAGTCGGCTGTAGTCAATTTAATTGATTGTGTAGGCGCCATTGGCGAACTTCGATTTATGTTTACTTCTTTTTTAATGAATGTACCCTCATTCTAGGTTAGTATTAAATGTCGTTTTTTAGAGACAAAGTTTTATTTTCCAAAGCAAGTCGAGTTGCATAACCTGAATTATAGTCCGATTTTTTGATTCGATCCGACTAAATTATAACAGGGAATCATATCACCCCACATATTATTCTGCTTATTACATTTGTTTTATTCTTGTAAATATAATAAATCCTCCAATTATGGCAACAGATCTCTTAAATAAATACGATAAAAAAATTATTTCGGTAGATAGCCGTGGTAGCAGTTATGTGCAAACCTCACAGGTGTCCCCACATCAACACAACTGGCAACGTTTGCGTTTACTGTCCTGGCGGGCCAGATTCGGATTTCGAATATTCTACTCAGTCGTATACCGGTTACGAACCGACTTCTATGAGAGCTATTCGGGCCCGATATGACCCTTACATCCAAGCTAGGCATAGAATAACTCAGGTTTATTTTCTTGCATTATATTTACTAATCCGTTACATAATCATTGCTTGTATAATCAGTCTCATTTCCATGTGTGCCTGAACTTAATTAATAATTTTTTTTATCATTTATTTAATTTAATAATTTAATTAGAGAAGATGTGGTTCCTGGGACTTATATAAAAAAAGGAATATAAAAGCAATAATTTGTTGGATATTTCATGTGCGTTTTTGCGCATTTAAAATTGAGGTACTATTTATATGTAGTGCGAATAATTTTCATATTATTAAGTGATAAAGATGGCAGTCTTTTTTCCTGCAATGTGTTATTTTTTTTAAACTTTTAATCAATATTTGACGTTTTTTTATTTAAAAATCTGATTTTACCAGCAATGTATTCCTGCATTTAAAACATCTATCTTATGAATCGTTGACAATTTTGTCATTAATCTTTGAGTCATTTATTCATGGCAAAATTTCCTGATAAAGTATTCTCAGATATGATGAAATGCATTTTCAGTTAAATCATATCTTTAAATTTAAAAAACGCACTTAAACAATAATTTAAAGTTGAAAAAATAACACTGCTGGAAATAACACATTGCCGCTAACATGTATATAGTATATCTAAAACTACGCCTATGTTTTATAATGATAAAAATTTTATTTTAATTTTTAAAATCACATTCTATTTAGAAAAGTTACTCCATTATTGATATTTTTTTTTGAAAAACTATTACCAATTACAGCTGCAACAATTAGGACACGACGTGGAAAAAATAGAATACATAGTGATGGGTGGAACCTTCATGTCTTTGCCGGAAGATTACCGCGATTATTTTATCCGAAACCTTCATGACGCCTTATCCGGTTTTACTAGTAGATCCGTTACCGAAGCCGTTAAAATGTCGGGTAAAAAAGGATCTATATATATGGGATTCAATTGATTGGGAAATATTAGTGAAAGAAGAAGAAAAATGGAATAGATTATAAGAATAATATACTTTTTTTTAAAAAAGAGAGAATGGTAAATGAGTTGGTTTCCCCCTTACGCTGCTTTTATTGTAAACAAAACGTATTCTTCAAGCGCTACAATATTCGCACTTGTCTGGATTAGTTCGCAGTTCCAAACTGCTCTCTCTGATTCAGTTTTAAAAACTAATTTAAGATAAAGCTAAAATAAAAATAATTATTTTATATAATATTTAAGAAATTCCTTTTTATCGAATTCGCTATTATTTTTATAAGCGTATCTTATATTATTATCAACGCATCCTCAACATATGTTTTTCAAAACTTATCATAGCGTTATTATAAAGCTCCATATTTATAATTTTTCTATATAAATTAAATAGATGACTAATAATAATAATTGAATGCCCGAAAATTATTTTAAAAGATTAAAAAGGAATTCAGTTTTTAAAATGCTTCTCATGGTGTCAAATAGTAGTTTACCCCCTCCCCCTCTCCCCTCTAATATTTTTAGAAATCTACATGTTGCATTTGTATTTTCAAATATGAAAATTATGAGAATTACTTTTTTGTTTTTGTTTCAGAGAGATCTAAGATTAAATGTATTGGGATCACGATAGAAACGAGACCCGATTATTGTCTTGAACGTCATATCAACGATATGCTTTCTTACGGTTGTACCCGTCTCGAAATCGGTGTCCAAAGCGTTTACGAAGATGTCGCTCTAGATACTAATAGGTTCTTTATTTATTTTTTATTTTTTTCAAATGGAAATATTTAATTATGAAGGGAACGAGTTTGACTTGTTAATAAATCCGGGAAGTTTGAAAAAAAAACAAAGAAAGGGATAATAAAAATTTTTTACGAAAATTGAACACCCGACTTTTTATATAATTTTAAATTTTAATATTCATTTTACAAAAATTACTGACACTTCAATTTTTATATTTCTTAGCCGAAAAATAAAATACCTTTTTTAACATATATATGTCGTATGGGGGGATTCGGAATCTCTCAATTTTGAATCATTTACTAAGGGCGATTTTTGGATTTTAAAAATCTGATTTTACAGGAATTGTATTCCAGCATGTGTAGAGTATTTACCCTATAAATTTCAACCAATTTCAGCGATAGACATTTTTTTTTAGTATTTTTTTAATTTATATGAAAAATCCATATAAAAATTAATATAAATTAGAAGTAGTTCTAAAGTTCATGGCAAAATTGTTTGAAATTTACAGTTTGGGTACTCTACCCATGCTAGAATACATTTTCGGTTAAATCGAACTTTAAAATTTTTCAAATCGCTCTCGGTAAAGGATTTAAAATCAAGAGATTCCGAATCCCAATACGGCATAAATTTATATATTTTAAAGATATTTATAATATCACGATAAAACATAAAATCAATTTTTTGATTCTGCATAAAATTTTATGTTCACTTTTTTTTACAATCATCCTCATTTCGTTGATAAAATAAACAAAATGCTTACAATTATTCCACTAAATTAAAAGTCATTAACATTAAAAAAACAAGTGCATGTTCCATATAAATAAAGGATTCTTATAGTGCGGCCAAATTGAGTGTTTTCCAAAAAACGCTAACCAGTTTGCTTTTTTATTGATGTTTTTAAAAAGTTATTAATTTGCACGGTACCATTTGAAATGCATTGTTTGTGTTTTGCATAACGAAACGCAAAGATTCATTTAGGTCGCACAATTAAGTAAATTTTTTTTTAAAAAAAAGAGAAATATTTATTAACTTTGAACTCAAATGACTGAATTTATTATAAGAATATGTAAACTGCTCATTTTTAACTAAATTATAAAATATTATTCAATTCGGCACGTTCACGGTTTGGCTCGAAATTTATATTAATTTTTATTCTGATCATTCTGAAATGTTTATTTATTTTTGAGCATTAGCTTAGCCCGGCTCGAAATTTTAGGTTCGGTCCGGATTTTTATTTTATTTTCGGCCCGTGCCTGGCCTGAAAGGTATCTGTTAAGAATTACGTTTTATTATTTAATAAATTTTTTATTATATTTGTTTTGATGAAAGAAAAATAAGATTATAAATTGTACATTATTCGTGTCAAAATATTATGTAGAGGGCACACGGTCAAGGCCACTTGTGAGACCTTCGCCTTGGCCAAAGAAGCGGGCTATAAAGTCGTCACACACATGATGCCCGACCTGCCTAACGTATGCTACCGTCGAGACGTCAATCAATTCCGTCAATTATTTTCCGATCCAGAATTTCGTCCAGACGGACTCAAGATATACCCCACACTCGTTATAAGGGGAACTGGTCTTTACGAACTATGGAAAAGCGGAAGGTGAACCGTGAAAAAAAATAAATCATTTTTTCCCATCATATTCTTTCCACCTCACTTTCCTTCCTTTATGAATCCTTTAAAATTAAAATAACCCCCAAATTCTACTTTTTTACCTCAACACATATGGCTCAAATTAATATTTAAAATAAGAGCCACGATCTTTTTTTTAAATAAATTACTCATTTTCATTTTCAACAATAATATTTTTATTTTATTTAAAAATAAAGGTATCGAAGTTACGCTCCTGGCCAATTGATAAATCTCGTTAGTCTTATCCTTTCCCTTGTTCCGCCCTGGACACGAGTTTACAGGGTTCAGCGGGATATTCCAATGCCTTTAGTTACCGCTTCCGCCGTTGAAAGTGGAAATCTGAGAGAACTTTGCTCGGCTCGAATGGAAGAATTGGGTTTGGCCTGCAGAGATGTAAGAACCAGAGAAGCTGGTATAAAACAGCTGCGTAGATCTCCTAACAAAGCTAAAGGTGGAGGTGGAAAGATGGTAACAAACGGATTTTATAAGAGAGGTGATGATACCGAGACGAAAGTCAAGGATACCGATGGTGGTAAAAAGGAAGATGAATTCAACTTAGGGCAGAGCGTAGAATTAGTCAGAAGGGATTACGCCGCGAATCAAGGCTGGGAAACTTTTCTTTCCTATGAAGATACCGAGACAGATATCCTTTTATATATTATAATACATAATATGCTTTGACACTAACATATTTTAAAGTTTTATGCGCTTTTATTTGGCCTTAACTCTAACACAATTTCTTTCCTTCATGATGGTCACTAATAAACATACTTTAATAGGGTTATTACGGTTAAGAAAATGTTCGGAGGAAAAGGCCTTTAGACCGGAATTAAAGCCAAAATTATTGAAAGATACCTCTCCTTCTTACAATAGTTGCGATCCTACGCTTTTGGCCGGAGTCAGCATGGTGAGAGAACTTCACGTCTATGGCAGTGTGGTGCCGATTCACGCCAAGGATCCTCTAAAATTTCAGCATCAGGTTAATAATATTTATATTGTATTTTATTAGGTTTATGAGGCAGCGGGGATTCAAAATATCTCAATTTTAACCATTTAGGCCATTTTTATGTGAAATATTTTATTTTACCGGAAATGAATACATGTATGAGATTTACTTTTTTCAGGCAATTTTTTGCCTTTAAACTTGTTTTATTATTTTTTATATATAAATTATAAGTTGATAACCCCATAAGACATGCCTAATTTTTTTCAACTTGTTAATAATACTGATTTTGAATTGACCAGATATTTTGCTGATTTTATAAGTGCAAAAGGTTGGTATATAGTTCTGTTCATCAAGACCCAAATCAAGTTTAAGGCTACACACTTTTTTTAAGATTACAATCGATATAACTGTTTATTATTATAATCTATATATATGCTTTAATTTTGAATAAACTATAGTCACAAAGTTGTATATAATTTTTGATGAATATTTGAGTTCAAAAATTTAAAATTGTTTGGTTAGACATTTCAAAAACACAAACCAAATGGGAACCGATTTATGAACAACCCATTTGAACCTAAAGTATTATGGACCGGGTCCAGTTTGGACTTCTTTCAGAAATCTGGCTTTGCTCAAGCTTCTGTTATCAAAATTTCAGCTAGGAGTTTTAAATTTCTGGACCCATTCATGTTCAAAGCCTTGATTTTGTTGCTACCTTTATGATAACTCCTATAACGTTGTTATTATAAAAATCAAATTTTAAAATAATTATCGCTTTTGATGTTTATTTAATGTGCTATAATTTTGAGATATAAAGAAAACATATAATTCGGGGTTGTACTTCATCAGCCCCACGTGGGTGCACATTTGAATTTCCTATATGGCTTCTTCTAAACATTACTTTTTAACTCAAAATTTAATAGGGTATCGGAACTCTGTTGATGGAGGAAGCGGAGCGTATATCTAGGTTAGAGCATGGTTCGTACAAAATAGCCGTTATATCCGGTGTGGGAACGAGAAATTATTATAGGAAGCTTGGATATCATTTAGACGGTGTTTACATGTCAAAGATACTGGATTAGATAGAGACAAATAAACATAACATAATCCCTTCTCCCAAATGGCCTTTATAGTTCAATCAACGCACATGAAAAATGCAATAAATTATTTATTTTTTCTGATATAAACATTTCCAATATTATAAATTATTACACATTAAAGCCTTGCAAACGGACCTAATTTTAGGTCAGGCCCGATCCGAGAAAAAATTTTGTCCTACCGATACAAGTTTGGTTGATCGGACTCGAGTCTGTCCTGTCCATACAGGGCTCTAGTAAATATTAATTTTCGATTATTTCCATGGGGAAAAAGCTAATAATGTTTAAATGTAGTTAAATCATGAATTTTGTTGGCCTATAAATCTTATTATCTTCCTTTTTTTATACATTTTTCCACGTTAATCTATTATATAGCTAATAAATTTGAACTTTACTATGTTAAGTTGCTATATAACAACCAATTGAGAAATTTTATATATCCTTATTTCGAGCATATCTCAAAATTTTATATTTGACAAGCTTACCTGCTGCATTCACAATTAGCACTAATTAATGCCTGAATATACAAAAATTAATGTAAAATTATTACATTATATCATATTTTGTATACTTTGCCACAATTTGTGCTAAAAATTAAGCTTAATAATTTTTCTCACACATAAGTGCAGTTTTGCAGAACTACTTATCCCCTTAGGTGTGAGGGCTAATCGTACGTCTTTACTTCTTTTTTTTTAAATTAAAAATTGAATAACCTTTCATATTAAGAGGAGATTGTTTCCTTGTTCCTTTTTAAAATATATTTACTTTGTTATTGGGACATTAGACAAGTACTCGACCCATAATTTACCTAATTTATAATGTCTAAATTCTGATTTTGTCAGTCAACTCTATACAAATGTTTAATTCAATTATTAAAAATAAATATTTTACAAAATAATTTTTCAAGTCAAAGTTTAGGATATTTAGAAATAAATGATCTAAGAATAAGAATATCATAGGGTTTATAGTTAGAGATGCATTGATATACCATTCTTTCCGATACTGTAGATTTTTTTTCCCCAGCCTATTTCCTACAAAAATATTTTTTGATTAATTTATCATAAAAGTTCCTTTCAAATGAAATGTCAGTTTATGTTATTGTATGTAAATTTATTTTATATAGTAAAATTTATGTTGCAACCAAAAAAAAAAGAATAACCCCTTCTTTTCTTATGTACTAGCAATTTGTAGATTTTTTTTTTATCAATGCATGATTTATTGTAGGCTCTTAATTGTTATTTTGAAAATTGGACATAATTGAGGGTACTGGCTGATATATAACAATCGCAGCAATTCATATCGGATTAACATTAGATAAGTACTCATACTACCTAATTTTTAATTTTATTAGCTTCACAAAAGTTGGGTAATGATGTATAGATTTGAATTTTATTCGTTATTACTGAATTAGATATCACAGTAAATTATTCTTAAATATCCTCGATTTTAAATAACATCCTTGACTTAATCGGTGGTTATTCTGGATTTGAATTCAGTAACTATCTTGAATAAACTCTGGAACTTTGAGGTATTGTTCCACTCTATTGAATTTTTTGGCGATTCTATATACCCATTTAAAAGCTTAATTTTATTTTTGCTACCATTATATATAAAACTATAACATGCATAATTGTAAAATTATATTTAAAAAAAAACCTTATTTCTAAAAATTATTTACTTAAATTTCGAATCTGTCATCAAAACAACTTCAAACATTCTTTATTTTAGAGTTAGTTTTATACTATTATATATGTATTTAGGTCCCTTACTATCAGTCAATTTCAGATAAAATTATTTCAGAATTGTGTATATGATCACCACCTATGCTTGGGATCTGAATAGCATACTCTTGTCGTGGTGGTTGATGTAAGGAAAGAATAAAATAGGAAATATTGTTAAATGTATTAGAGGGATTATTGTTGCATCAGGATTTAGAAAAAGTATTTGTGAAAATAGAAAATGTGCCGAATCTTTAAATATCATTCAAATATATAAGATTCAGTCAAGAAAATCAGTATGTTGAATGTTTTAAATTTGATCCATGTGACAAGACCGTGAAACTAAATATGCATAGAAGTCAATAGCATTTTAATTATTTTATAAAGTGTGTACAAAGAAAGGTCCAATTATAGAGAACATGCAAGCCCTCCCTCTAAATGAACCGAAAAATTGTATTAAAATCCGCGCTACAGGCCTATTTTTAAAAAATATATTTAAATTGTATTAATCAGTTGGAAAATCATATAAAGGAAGCGTTTAATATTTTCAATATTCCTTTAAAAAAATTAAAATTCTTCTCTATCTAAACTAGTAGCTAACCTAAACTTTAAGAAAGAGAAAAAAAATTAAAACTTCCTAGATTTTCCGTTCTAGTCTGAAACATACCCGGTATGCAAGTTTTTCCAGCTGCTGGATCTAAATTTAAATTCAAGAAAATCCTCACTGCCCTTCCAATTTTAACAAAAAATAATTTTTATACACGATTATAATTTACATATTTTCTAATATATAAATTTTATTTGGCAAATGTTTTAAATAAATTATTAATTTTGTTTTAAGCCAAAAAATAAAATTTAAAAAAAAACGAGAAATATTTTTTTAATTAATCGCAGCACAGCTAAATCCATCCCGCTTGTACCAATTATATTCTTGATATTTTGGTGTTTCAAAACAATATTTTCTTCTCTAATAATAAATATATTTATTATATAATTATACACATTTTAAAGGAGTACAATATTTATTTTGGTCATATTTAAATAAATCATATATGTTATGCTTGTAAAAGAATAAGAAAAATTATATGTTTTTCAAATACTCATTTTAGCAAAATTTTTTGTTTAGAATACTATTATTAATTAAATTAATCTATACAATGTCGATTTAATTGATCTAAAAAGGGAATGATCATTTTATACAAAAAAGGAAAATATATAAATTCCCAAATTAAATGTTATGAATGTGTGCCTTAAGGATTTCTTGAGAAAACGGAAAAAAATATAATATTTGTAACTATATAAAACCTTTTTACAGGTTTCCCAGGGGAACAAAAATTTAACTATATATATATGAGATGTATAACGAGTTTTTACTTATAATATAATGCCAAATTTAGAGTAGACAAGATGGTTCATCTTAAGATTTTTTAAAAAAATGATTATTAAAAATGGGAAAATAAAGTTGAAATTCTTTAGTTTTTCTAATATTTTATTCCAATCAAAAATAAGCTAGAAAAAAAATACTAAATCATAATGCTACTTGATTGATTATTTTTTTTAAAAAAAAATACGATTTTAAAAAGGAATGTAAAAAAAAAAAATACAAATTAAAAAATAAATATTTAAACGACTAACATATGATTTATATAATATAATTATATCTAATTTAACATGTTTCTAGTATGTATATATATAATATATATTTAAGAAGATAGAAATGGTTTATGGATATTCAGTATTCTTTCGATTTATTGGTCTTCAGCCATAAATAAAACTAAAGAATTGGTTGCTCTTTTGCTCTAATTTTCAAGCGTATCGTTTTAATTTAAACATTAATTTGGGCAAATAAATTATCTCACAAAAGCGAAATCGTAAATTATCACATTTTAAAACATATGATTATGATAAGTTTTTTTATGTCTTGGGTGCGTCTCCAAACCACCAAACTTCTAATCTATCAACTATAAAATCCTCTTTGAGCGTGAGAGGGGGATTGGCGAAAGTTTCGCAAGAATGTGTTCGGCCGTGATAAAAATTGGCGCCCAGCCAAAGACCATATAAGCCCCTTGATTTTGAGGATATTTAAATTTTTTTTAAAAAAAAATATTTATTAAGTAATAAAATCAAGCTCCATGAAAATGATTAACGGATGGAGTTATAAACCCTATAATTAAGAGACGTAAGATTCTACAAATTAAAGGGGGAATTAGGTGATGTAAAATTTATATTTAAGATAAGAATACGATAAGTTTTAAAACAATATAGGGAGAGGGGGGGGGCTCTATTCCTTTTCATTTTTCTATATAAATAGATAACGAGAAGAGCGGGGGGGGGGGGGGTATATGGCATAAGATTCGCGAATTTATTCTTTATCCCCTGTTATCAATTTTTTGTAAAAATTTTCAATCTTAACTTAATAATTAAATTAGTGATTAATTTTATTTTTAAAAGACCTGATATGGATATTCAGCAAAATATTATCTACTTATATAAATATCAACTACTACTACGATCAAATCCCTAAACTTTTTTAAATCAAAATATTGGGAGATTTAAAAGGGCCGGACGTCATTTTAAATGTAAATGGGCCTATAAATATGTTATTTTTTACTTTCCAGAGCCTATGGCTAAACTATCCAAGTTTCCTTGTATAAAATAGTTATTTTCTCCGGTCCAATTAAACACCTTTAAATTTTTATTTATAATAAAATATAATTTGTTAAGGTTTTAATAAAAGAGAGAAATAAACAAGCAACATCTTTCGAAGGAAAGATTTTTTTTCAAAAAAAATATGCAACCTGAAAAGAGGGGTAGAATGTGTATAAAAAGGTTTCTCCGTTTCCATAAAAATGTTCGCTGGGTTTGAAAGGGCAAGAGGCTAAAGCTCCAAAAACCTTTTTAAAATATAAAATATTTTTTTAAACTAATTCTAATTTAATAGTTTTTAATGAATATGAACAGATTTTTCTTAACAAATTAGAGGTTGGCCACAGGATGATCTAACCTTAAAACCGGGCTGAAAATAATATATTTTTTTGCAAACACATTAGCAAAAATATTTTTAAAGTCAATTGTATAGTTTAGCTAAAGTGATATCTTAATTATGTTTATAAAAAAAATTAAAATAATTATTTCAATCACCTCACTCTTTAATAGTTGACTATAATTAAATAAGGATTTTAATGGTATATTTAATTTAATATTTGGAATAATAACAAATCTTAAATTTAGTTCTTAAACAAGATCTCGTTCATTTTTCAGAATATTTTCTCAATGTTTTTCTTTTAGATTTTTAACTATTTGGTTTTGACCGGGATTGGAATAATATGTTTTTAAGGGTCTAGAAAATACATTAGTAGTAAAAGTCATATGTAATTCTGACGATAAAAAATTTTTTCGTGTTGTAACTTACTTTCGCGTCCTTATCCTTAATGACTAGAAGGACGGGGCTGTCATTGTCGCAAGCCTGCAACTTGTTGTACATTGTGTTGAAACTGTATCCGTGCTTGTTATTGCTGTAGGCTAGGATCCAATAATAGCCTATAGCTCTGGCCGGTAGCCTTTTGTTAAGCTGAAATTATGCAATTGATAAATAAAACATTGTTCATATCCTATCTTTAAATAATTGTTAATGAAATCAATATTATGTCTTTTTTACATAATCCACTTTTCTATCTATGATCTCAATTAAACCTAATCTCATAATTTAAAAGACATTTTGTGCCAGTTAAAAAAAAATTTTAAGAAAATTAATAAAGCTTTGGAATTGGTAATTTTCAAATATATATATTTATTGAAAATTGGGCTTCCGTTTTATCATGTAAGGTATCAGTCGCTGTCACTATACCTCTAAAAATGAAATCGAGTTAGACATTTGTAATTTGAAATATTCATAACAGATAATGAACTGCTCAATATAATCATCATGACTCTACTTATATAATTATCAAATCAAGCTTTATTGCTGGGAGTAAAAGCTGCATTTTTACAAAAAAAATGAACTTCGTTTTTTTGAAAGGATGGCTCAACCTTAAAAGGATCTAATAACATATGCCTGTAAATTGAGCCGAATTTGCTTATTAACTAACTATGTAACGACTAATATCTTCGACAATTGAAGAGAAACGGATAGCAATATGGAAAAAAAAATCATTTTAAATTTATATTTTTTTTCCTTCTATTCTTAACAATATAAGAATGAACTATCATTTAGGTCTAAGCTAAATAATTAGATCTTGAAGATATTTATATATAAACCTGTATAATTTGATCGTCGTCAAGTATGGAACTGGTATCGAGCAGTGATGGAATATCGGGATTGTAATCTTGGAGTGGTGGCGATGCATCCTTTTTAGGACATTCTAATAGCTAAAATTTGGAAGAAGAAAAAAAGAGGATCAATAAGCTATAATTTATATTACAGCACATTTTGCTAACAATAAAATATAAAAATTCACAATAAAATATCAATATTATAGTAAAATTACTATATCATGGTTCAGAGAATATTTCTATTTATGAAGAAAGGTATCTAACTAAGCAATGACATCAATGACCCTCTTCGTTTTTTTAAATGTGTGTATACTAAAGTCAGCTGTTATAGTAGACGCCATTGAGAGGAATTTAGTTTAAAACTGCCCTAAATACCTTTCAATAACGGACTTAATGCATTTTAAATAAACAAATCGTCAGTCTAGTCTGTGTTAGTATTTTAGGTCATTTAAAATCAAATAGATGCGAAATAGATATTTATTACAGTAACCCTCATCGCAAAAACAAATCACCCAATAGGTTACTCGCATGTCCCAATAAAAATATATTTGGCGATAAGAAAAAAAATTTTCTAACAAACATAATTCGGTTCAGGGTAATAAGAATCATTTTTTTTTCTTCTTTTCAATATCGAATAGCAGCATTATTTCAATTAAAATGAATTAATCCCTACCCTTCCCTAGATTTTGAAAGAGATATTACCTAGAAGGAAAAGATGGATTTTTTTGTGACTCAACAAGCTTAATTTTTCATTGTTGAGCGCAATTTTCTTTCAAAGTTTTAGATTTATTTTTTAAATAAATCAACTTTATAATATTCCTTATTCCTGGATCTCGCCAGAAAATGATGATATCTGATCACATTTTAAAAACAATGTCTATTGGATAGTTATAATAATAAATATTTTATAATTATATTATTATTTTTTAAGACGTTAAATTACTTCCCATTCTTTGCTATTTTTCGCGGTGGCAGTCTTTCTAAGTTCGTACTTCTTGGAACTTTTTTCCTCGGCGAGGTAAATAGAGCACTCTTCCAAGAATATAAAAATCTTTTTGGCGCTAAAATTGTTTGTAAACATAATAAAATAAAAATTCATTATCTCTTCTCTCTATATTATCTCCCATATTTAAATTTTCTTCTAAAATAAACGATTACGAAAAATAAAAAAAAAATATATAAAAAGATAAGAATTTACTCGGAAGGGAGTAGACAGAACCAGTACTCATTGCCCCCATCCCCATTTTTCGCGTCTGGCAACGTATCGATATCCAGAAAAATTACCTTCTCCGTATCGTGATTATGATGGTAAAGGAGTGTCAGAGAAGACGTGGATTGGTTTTTTAAATCCATAGGATGAGCGTTGATTGTTTCATTATCTATAATTAAATTTTATTATAAACGATTTTTTTTAAAGATTCCATTTATCCAATATATTTCTTTAACAATCTCCTTGTTAACGTCCATATCATAATGTTAGATGGGTCATGCCGCTGATAATCCTTTTTACGAATATTGAAAAGCCTCGCTAAGCCCAATTTTTTTTTACCTTCTTTCGGCATAAAATATTTTTTTTAGCATGGACCAGGAAAATTTGCATTATTCAAGGTCAAAAAAAATTAATTTTTTACAGAAATCTTAGTCCAAAAAAAATATTGTTTTTTTATAAGATGATTATCTACGAACCATTTTTGGAATTTTCTGATTGCTCGTTAAAAAGGATCGACTTCAAGGCGGCAGGCCAATGCTGGCTCAAGTATTCCAAACCGCTAATTATGGATATGTTAACTCGCTGCGCTTCGCTCATTTTATGAGCTTTAATTTTCGTCTCGAAATCGTCATCTTTATCCTTATCATGGGGTGTATTGTTGGAGATATCTTCGATTTTACTGTCGACCTTTAAAACGGGTTTACTTTTGGCAGAGTTTAATATTATTTCTTTATCCATGCGAGTTTGGTCAGTGTGAATGGAATACGTTCTAAAGTTAAATATAGGAAGGTGGCAAACTAAACTTTTAAAAATAGATATAATTTAGAATTCTACTTCTATTTCTTAATTTGAGCGAATCATTTCAAAGGGTTAATTGGGGAAAAAAAGGAAATTTAATAAATCAATTATTTAATATATAATATAATACTCCATAAAAAAGGAACCAAAAATATTTTTTGATAAAGCTTCAATGAACAATATTTCTGAAAATCTATAAGGGGGTATTTACCCATCTTTTTCTCCATATATATCGATATCCCGAAACAACCTAGCTAATCGGAGCTGGTTGAAAGGTAAAGTCACGCTAAGATCTGTCGAATCGAACATAGTAGCGGTGGGAGTTAGTAATAATGTGCCGATTAACTGTTTTAATTTTTTTTTTTAATTTAATTAAAGATGTAAAAATTTATATGATTAATCAACAAAATAAAACTATGGCTATTTATGAATGTAAATTTTGTTTTCAAATTCTAGCTCAACCAGATCAAAAAAAACATGCCTTATGGTCGAAAATCGGGGAAATCGTGATTTGATTAAATTTCATTTTTTTTCTTCTAAAAAGCTTGATGCGAAGTCACAAACTATATAAAATTTTGTAGCCCTTAAAATTCTACTTTAATAAGAAATTTTTTTTTAAAAAAAAATTAAAATATTCCCATAAACCGATTTTTTGTTTTTTTAAACTTAAATTTAATTAAAATACATAATATAGATGAATATAATATATTACGTAAAAGATATCTTTGTAAGTAAAAATATCATTTTTATAAACAATCTATTTAATAGAACCGACATGATGTTTTGAGGAGATTAAGCAAGCAGCCCTTAGAACTAAAAAAAATTCCGCCTGAAAAAATAAAATATTTTCTCAAACTAGAAGGGCTACAAAATGATACACATAATTTGTGATTCTTTCATACATTTATATTATATGAAGAGGAAAAAAAAAATTAGATTTGATGAAATCAATATTTTTGGATCTGGTTTCTAATTGTTTAAAACTTAAATAAGTATAATATCTTAAAGGGAGGTTAGGTTTGATTTCACAACAAAACCATGTGGCAATATTTAACGTTAATTTCTTATATAACTCACAATTCATCCCCTTAGCCATTATTTTTATAATATCTGATCTTGAAAAATAAATTACGGGTTCAGGGGCGTCATATCTCAAATATACGGCTCGGCACTTGAAAAATCTTTGGACGATAGGATCGTCCTCTTCCGACTCCGTTTCGTAGGATTGCGAATAAAATCGAGAGTCGTGTGAATATGTAGGCCTAGATGCGGATCCCAGGTTAAAACTCTTAGACTGTTAGTAAATTAAGAAGGAGAAAAAATTTATACCTTATTTCCATCTTCAAAATTTATCATTAAGCGTTATTAAAATAGCGTGCTAATTTATTTTTTTATAGCTTTAACTGATAGTTAGGCTACCTAATATCTTCTTATTTGAAAAATAGCCATTGTGTAACAACCAATAAAGAAATATCATTTAAAATTTGGAAGGCACTATTTATAACCCTATTCTTGATTAAGTTTGAAATGATACTTTTCAAAAAAAAAATGAATTTTTTATTGTAGAGAGGAACAGTTTGATAGAAAATTGTAGCAAAATATTTCAATAAATAATTTTGAAAGATTAATAATGAAAGAAAGAATGACAAAAAGAAAAAAATGAATGAAAGAAAGAAGGAAAGAAAGAAGCATCTAGAAACCGGAAAAATTTATAGGAATCGATTCTGGGCCGGTTTTAACAAAAGTGTAAGTAATTTATATAAATATTGTTTAAAATGTTTAGTTATTCATTTTCGAGGATTTATTTAATGTTCAAATTTTTTTTAAAATTACTTCAAAAAGATTTTAAAACCAGAATAAGAATAGAGTCAAATTCAAGAACCGGAAACGAAACAGGGTTACATTTTGGAACCGGGAGTAGGACCCCTTTTTCAAAATTTTAGCGGCACCATTTTTAAAAAAATAAAATAAAATTATTTTGAAAAAAAAACGTAGGAACAAATGTCCCAGAATCCAAATAATGTTGAATGTTTTCGATTTAATAATTTCCTTTATCTGATAAGTATTAATATAAAAAAACACCCATTCGACGAACCATGTCCCACCCAGCGACAATTACCTACCTAACATCTTTTGAAAATAAGAATCATTTATTCATACATTTTTTTCAAACGATATCTTCGAGTGCTTATTAACGGAAGAGATTAGTGAGAATCAGCTTACGGGAATCGAAGAAAAAATGGTAAGCGACCATATTCAAAAATGAGCCTTTTATAATTTCAACCTTAAAAATAATTTTAAATGAAATTATGTGATTTAACTATTCTTTATTTGGATGGGAAAGAGAGTGAAGGTGTCCCGTCCCAAAGTTATCGTCATCTGGACGTGTCTGGTGGCAAAACGTCTTTCGGGACGCGTCCCATAACAAAATAAGATTCCTATTCTGAATATTATTTTTAAAAAGGTTTTCCGGTTCCCAAACAAAAACTCTTTCGAATAATAAAAATTAGTTACACTTTTGTTAGGTTAGGACAACTTCCTGCCCCAAAAAAAAAATTCACAAAAGGGATTCGAGATTCCGGTTCCAAATTCTGGGTAAAGAGAATCGTTTAAGTATATTCATTTAACCTTAGAACTGAATAGTTTTACGTTGGCGGATTCGGGGTTTGATTGCAATGGATGAGCATTGGGAATGGAAGATATGGTCGAACTTCGAAATCTAACAGGGTCAACTTCTACTTCTGATTGGGGTTGATGAGGTGGTAATTGGTAAGAAGCGTTTGGTACTTTTATCAACTACAAAAAAAAGTTTGTTAATATAAAATATGTAATATCCTTCCATGATCATGTTTTAACAAATAGGCCCTAAGCTAATAATAGATTTACCTGTCCGGGGTATAACATTCTAGAGGACATTTTATTCAATTTGACCAATTCCGATGGCAGTATATCGTATTTCAGAGCGATGTTCTCTATCGTGTCACGCGATTCAACCTAATCATTCAAACAAACAAACAAGAATAATTAAAAAGGATAGATGGTAACGAACTTCTGTTTGGTAATTTTAAATAAAAAAAAATTAGCTCATCCCAATTATCAAACTATCAAACTTTTCACGATTTAAATTGATAAATCGTAAAAAATTAAAATACAGGGAACGAGTTTAACTTTGCCACATTTTAGAAATTATCATTTATCTTTTTATAAGAAAACGTGATTTATTTTTTACAGAATAAATTATAAGTTTTTTTTAAAGTACGAAAGTAATATATTTTTTTGTGTTAAAAATTCTAAATGATAGATAACCCATATTTTGATGATCATTAAAAAAATTTATGATGCATCTTTCCATCTATTATATTATAGTATTGATATGGAAGTTTTTTTTCCCCATTTTTGCTGGTCTATCATGCATCTTTCCAGCTATTATAATATGGTTTTAACACTAAGAATTTTTAGTTCTTTGCTGGCTTATTCCATTCTGGCACAAATATAAAGCTTAGAGATAATGAAATCGATCAATGGGCATTTTTACAGCCAATTACATTGTACTCGTAGTAATTTTTTTAATTGTAGTATTCCCTTAATAAATGAATCTGGTTGACAAATATTCCCTTAAATTTCCAATTTTATCCCCTACAAAGTTAATTAATTTTTTCGTAACGTGCAAAGTTGTCGTACTTCATTATGTAATATGATCTTTTTCTCTAAAGTATTTCTAACTTCTAATTTCAATCTCTTTTTCTTTATCCATCCTGTCCTGCTATCTTTGTTTACAATTTTTATCATTTTTGAAAGATGAAAGATATTTTAACCGGCAACTGATATTGTGGGGATTCGCCTCCCTCTACTCACGTGCCTGCGCAAACCTCGACTTGAACCAATACAAACAAACGGTTCCAATTGAGGATTTCTAAAAAAATGATCGTTGTTAATCCACTTTTGGATACATTTTTGACTCAAATAAATGAACGATATCTGATTCATCAAATGGCCCTATTCAATTTACAAATATTTTTAACTCCTTCTGGAGCTATATATTAAATCCTGATATTGAAAAAATTAGTCAAATTTTATTTCGAGAATAATAAATATATATCTCTTAGATCTGATAGCCAATTAATTTCATAATTTAAATCCTAAATCCTGGTATATGAAAGATAAATTTTGGTATATAATCCCTCCAAGAAAAGCGATGGAAGCAATGCAAACTTAAAAGATATATTTTGGAGTTTTTTTTCTTCAAAATATATTAAAATTATTGTATATTTCGGCAACAATACCCCATTAGTAAAAGCACAAATGAGATCAAAAGTATATCTTAAAATGAATGGACTAGCAGCTTATGAATCCAGATTAAATCTCTATTCAAAACAAGTTGTTAAAAAAATTGGAGCAATGGTAAAGATTAATTTTCATTTAGGTAACGGTATTTTAATTAACTTCTTTAATTATCGTATAATCTTTGATTCCACATTTCCCTGTGATTTTACATACCGATTATAAGTTGAAATATTATTTTAACAATATTACATTCGCTTCTTAAATATTTTTATAAAATTTTACATAGCGATTATTGATTATATAAAATATATATGTGTTAGCGGCAAGGCAATGTCTTATTTTTTTCAACTTTAAATCATTTATTGAGCACGTTTTTTTTAATAAAGATATTACTGGAAATTTATTCCATCATGTTTGAAATACCTACCCTTTGATTTTCAGACAATTTTGTCATGAACTTTTGAACTCATTACAAATCTATACCAGTTTTTATCATATAAATTATAAATGACTCAAAAGCTAAGAGTAAAATTCTTTACAATTCCTTTAAATAGGTATTCTAAACATGCTGGAATACATTTTTTTAAGGTATAATCATATTTTTTTTTAAAAAAAAATGCGTTCAAAAAATGATTTAAACTTGTAAAAATAATACGTTGCCGGATTGCCTCTAACATATATATAATATATATAAAGCAAATGGATGAAATAAAATAAATATAAAAATTGTTACATTAATTCACAAATCCGGGCCGGCCGAAAATTCACAAATCCGGGCCGGCCGAAAATTAAAAATCCGGGTAGGGTCGTTTTTAAAACCGGGGTGGGCCATAATATTTTTTCACAAATCAGTGCCGAGCCGTGCAATTAGTATCTCTGCAGATCTCTGGTATTTTTTAATATTTTATTATTCGCGTTCAAAATTGTCATTTTTGATATGGTTGGTATAATAATTATATCGATTAGTTCTATATTAAAATTTTAATGTTCCAAAAAAAAAAACTACCCCCTTTCCCCTCCCCCACTGCAGAATTCCTGTTAATTAAATTTAAAAAAATTTGATTAATACATGTCTTAAATATATATTTTTTTTTATTAGTAAAAAAAAAAATGTGAAGTAATAATATTTTATAGCCAATTTTTGCTTTCTTTTCAATAACTTCTTTTTACAATAAATTTTCATTTGAAAAACTTTGATTTTCAATAATAAACATTCGAAATCATAATTAATTTATAATAAGGTTATAATAAAAATATGTCAAAAAAATATCAAAGCTTTTATATAGCGCACAAATCGAACGTCTCAACGCAGCGTTTCAAAACGCAAATAAAAAAAAATGTAATCGTAGCTATTTTTAAATTGAACCGTTAATTTCCATTTTTTTAAAAAAAATATGAAAACTTCTAAATTTAAAACAAAAATAAATGCTGTCCAATTTATACGAATGCATTTAAAATGTGTGTTTTGAAACGCTAAATTTTTGCGCATTATAATACAGATATTTAAATAAAATATAACGGTTTTAAAATGGGACTCGCATTTTACCCATCATACCATTAAAAAGACCATATAACTATCATTTTTTAATTAGTAAAAAAAAATATATATATATATAACTGCGAAATCGGTAATGTGATAATAATGACAGAATAAATATATATAAAATGACAGATATCTAAGCAGACATATTAGAGACCCGAATTCCCGAATCATTAGATGAAAATTATTTCAATAAATGATATATTTGTGAATACGATGTGTGGCTTAACATATGTTTTTATGATTATGTTAACATCGCGCGAAATCAGGTTGGCCTAATTCGAGGCAGACTTAAAGATAAACCAGACTTTAAAGTCAATCTTTTAAAACAATGGTAGGATCTTAAAATTTAAATCAAACCTGGGTTAGGCCTGATACATTTAAATAACCGGGTCAATTCAAATGGCCTAAGACTTATTAAGAAGCCTCATTAGTAAAAAAAAAATACCTTGGCTTACAAACGGAATCAATGACACTCAATAATACTAATCTAGACTAACGATTCGTTTATTACATTAAAAAAACATGTATAGGAGTCAGCTAGAGACGTCGTTTTGTGAGATGCATGTCGACTAAGTGGCATCTATGTTTTTGTTTAAAAATATTTAGGAGTCAGCTGGAGACGTCATTTTGTGATATGCAAGTTGACTAAATGACATTTTAAAAAAATATATATAAATTCTATTTTTTAGACCTGGAAAACTTAGCGGAATGAGCCTGATTTTGCCTTCAACCATACAAAAAAAGTATATGTTAAGCCTATTCGCAAAATGGTGGTCGTTTCATTTTGTTTGAACTAGGCCTTTTAATTTAAATATATCAAAAGATAAACGTTATTTAGTCTCAGTGCAAACCACAAAATGGAGTCTACAGCTGTATAATATGCTTCCAATCAATTAATCGTCAATCTAGAGGTTATTATAATGATTTAATTCTCTCATTATTACGAATAATAGAAACCATGGTGAAACTAACCGTGTACGAATTATATTGTAATTGATTGTCGGAAGTTGACGTTTGATTGTCGCTGAAAGAGGCAAGTTTGTGCAATTGCTTCATAGAAATATCCCTCAGTATCTCTAACATCTGATAAACATTATTTCATATTTTTTTTAAAAAAAAAAATACAATTTAATAAAAAAAAAATTCAATTTAATAAAAAAAAATAGGTTTTTACCAAATTATTAATAATAATGTATTCTCGAGAAAAAAAAGGAAAGATTGACAAAATAAATGGATATTTAAAAGGTAATTCAAATGTCAGGGAGGGGGGTGGGAATAAAATTTATACTTTTCAAAACGCTGAATTAATGAAATACTATATCAAATATATATTTCAAAAAAAAATATTTTAATGATGTCGTTTTCATGAAATCGTGGGGAAAAAAAAAATATTCATTCAAAAGGATAATGAGTGTATGTTTTTCAGTGTAGCTTTTAACAACACTGATAACTTTTGTATATAAAATAGATTTGCTAGCCTGGCTCGTCTATCATGCATAAATTGGAATATAATAACTTGCTTTTCATTTTAAAATATAAAAAAAAACTATTAGGGAATTTTTGATAGACTGATCTCACTCATTTCACTGGCTGTGGCTAGAATTTTAACGATTACTACTATTGATCAAAAGGAAAATTATACTCACGAATTATGAATTATTTTCATCCTCCGGGAAACATAAATTTATATATTTTTTTATAATATTCGAATTTCGATTAATCAACATTTAACACTCTATGCGATTCAGTGCCAATTTTTAGATGATTTTGATTTGAATAAAAAAAAACATAAAAAGACAAACAGAGAAAACGAATGTTATATCGAAAAAAAACAATCTTGAAGTTTTTCGCCTTACGAATGGCTTGACAAAGAGGAAAACGGAAAAAGAAGCACTCACCTCAAGATCTAGCAGATCGTTTACTCGTGTCTAGCGATGCAAAACCGCTTCATTCGAGCCGATTTTTAAAAACTGTAACTCAATATTTCGACCAGAAATGTCCAAGCCTTTGTGTCTATGAGAGCAAAATCTTCAAGCCCTCGTAATATTTTTCTGAATATGCTTAGAAGTTTGATTTCATAAGAATCGAAATAGATCGGATACTGATCTTTTTAATTTATAGATAAATAAACCAGGGTTGTGAACCGATCCCATGGATAAAGTGCATTTTTAATGAAGAACTTATTCCCAAACCCCACTCCCCGAACACTAAACCAAAAACTCTTCCTGGGAAATTGTTATGATTTTAAACTTATACCCCAAAAAAATCTTTTCATTTAAATTTATTTTTAATAACAATTTGATTGACGTTTTTGAACACGAACAAAAATTTTTTAACCGAACTTTTGAACAAATATTGCCTAGACCTCTTCACCAAAAGAGGGCTAACCCCCTTCTGCCACCTTCTAGAATAATCTCAAGGCGTATGTAAATATTAGCGGCCGAAATCGCCATTTTCTTAAAACGCGGATAAATCGAGGCTTTACACAAGACTACCCTATGGGCGTGATATTATGTAAGTCTTTTTTTACTGGTGTTATTTATATGAATTTTAATATTACATTTTAAAAAAATCGATATAACTAATAATAGTTGAAGATAATGATTTGTTGCCATCAACTTTGTCATAATAATTAAATTTAATAGAGGCATTTTCCCTCGTTAAAAAATATAAAATATTAATAATTTTAGTAAAAAGTAAAAACCTTCTCCCAAACATTTTACATAAATTTATTTATAAATGAGTTATTTTCTAGCTGGATAAAACAGGTTTAAGTTGATGGGAATGGAAAAGTGATTATTAAAAAATAAAAACTTCCATTAGGAACATATATATTTGAATACTTATGATCAGCACTATTAGTATTCAATTCGTCGAATAAAAAAATATAATTTTTTAGCAAATATTTTACGCGCGAAATAATTTTTCTAATTTTATAAGAAAAATTTTCGTCATCGCTAATCCACATTCGCCAATTTTTTTTATGGCGAAACGCTTATCGCGAACCTTTTAAAGCGAAATACATGACTTTTATGGCAAATCAATAATTCGCAAAAGTTTTATAATAAAGCTATTATCGCTAAAATACAGAGTAAACTATTTCGTGAATCCTATGTCGAGAGAATCACCGCGAACATTATATCGCGAAGGAAATACCGCGATAATTGCAATTGATTGATTTTATTTAGAAACGATTCAGAAAAATTATCATAAAATTATAAAAAAAATTTGCTATTCTGCCTATATCCCTTTTGGCCAAAGTTTTATTTTAAAAGAATCAAGCAGGAATACAGGTTTTAAAAATATTATCATTGGGTTTATATGATCCTAGTTTAAACTTGATCCTTACTGGAAGTAGAAAAAATGGAGAAAATAACATTTATGGTTCTGATGATATCAATTTATCATCTCGGATTCTTAAGGCACAGATAAGTGTAAAGTATGGGAGTGAATAGTTTTAGCAATAATTAGGTTTAAGCTATCTTTGATTTTTGATAATATATAGTTATATAATACCGCTATTATTAATCCTTGGAAACTTCAATTTTGAATTTAAATAAATTTTTGTGGATGTCTGACCCACCCCCCCCCCTCCTAGGTTAATAATAACGCGGATGATTAATGAACGTTATTTTGTATGTGTAAATTCCTAATATATATTCAAATATATTCTCTAAATGCTTCGAAAGCGAAATTAAATTCTTTGGTTAAGTTCATTGCAAATGTAACTAGTCATTTTAAAAACACCACTGAACGAGAATATGATTAAGATACTTTTTTTGTATTACAATCATGTAAAGTTTGAAATAATTTTAAATGATGTGAAAAAAATTTTTTTTATAACTAATATTTATCAAATATTTATAATATACCATATATTCTAAATGCTAAAGCAAATTAAAATTTTTTGGTTATAACTGATGTTTAGTTCATTGTTAAAGTAACTAGTTATTTTAACAACACCATTGAAGGAGAATAGAATTAAGATACTTTTTTTATTACAATCATGCAAAGTTTCAAAAAATTTCAGTTGATGTGTTTGTTGATTGCTTCTTTTTTCAGTTATCAATAATATTTATCATCAAATATTTATCAGAGACTTTCAAGACCCGGTCTAAGCCCGGCTCTTATTTTTTTTTTAAATATACCCGGGCCGGATATGGAAGTTTTTTTAAAAATATCCGGGCCGGGCCGTATATTTTAAAACCAAATATTTGAAATCGCCATTATTAGCTATAATAATCAAAAATAAATATAATATATATTTTTAAAAAAATCCGGGCCGGGCCTGAATATATAAAACCCGGGCCGGGCCGAAAAATTTTTTTAAAAAAATAATCCGGCCGTGCCGTGTAAATGGTACCTCTACAGGTCCCTGATATTTATAATATATAAATACTATACGGTAATATTTTGCCATTTTTTTTGTCATCCATTATGTAAAATAAAATTTTTCTTTGAATTGAAAAAAATATTATTTAAATTTGAAATATTTTATATAATAAAAAAGAAATAAAATATTTTACAAAAAAAAAGATTTGAAAATCAAACCAGATATTTGCGCCTCAACCAGAACGTATATCTCTGAGTTACAAGCCATTTTTTTAAAAAAAACAAGAGTTTATATAGACAAAGTTTTCCAATTTATTAAAATAGACTAATTAAATAATATTTTATTAATCATAGATTAAATAGAATTTGATTATGGGAGGGTTATATTGGCTGTATTAATTTTTACTTTTAATTAGTATTGAGAGAAACCTTGAAATAAATATGAATAGATAATATAAACTCAGCACCATGAATGAATACAATAAAATAATATTTAGAAAATTTCAAAGGCTTATGTAAAAATCGAATAACCATCAAGACGAGTGTAAAAGGTTAGGTTATAAGGTTGCCGAGGATATGTTGCAAACTCCGAAATTGAAAATGAAATAATGGAAGAAAAGAAAATGAACCCCAAAAAGGATGGAATATTTATATAAGGGAACTAACGGTTTATAAGTTAGTTGGTTTTTATTTTAAGTATAATAATGGAGCCTTTGTAATTATTTAAATGAGTAAACTGAGTTAGACTTATATTCATGTTTAGTATGTCTAATATAGTTTTGTTTAGCCAGTAAGTCTTGTAGTTACAGTATCTATTGTTCTTATATATTGGAAGCCAACTTAGGGCTTCATAAGCCAGGTTATATTCCGCATTTCTCAATATATACGAGAACAGCTGAATTCTTCTTTTCATTTTTATAATATAGCTTAACTTTTTTTCTATTAGCTTCTTTTTTAGAGAATTTTAACACCCAGCCTCCCCCCACTCCCTCCTAATGACCCAAACATGCGGACTTCGAGTGATAGCAAATAGCACTCAATTTTTCAACCCTTCACCACAAAGGTGGGGTAGATAATACCCCACGGCTTTTATAATCTTGGTAATAAAAAAACCTGAAGATATTTTGACCTAATTTTTATAGTAGTTTAATATTTTCTTATAAAGAATATATCTACCAAATTTCAAGATAATTGATTTGATATTTTTTTAAATATTTGCAATTTGTTGAGCTTGGGGTAGTATAGGTCCCACCTTTGTACTTAATTTTTTTTTTCACTATTTTTTTTTATTAATAAATATTATTGTATATTACAAACTAATATATAAAATTGAAAAAAAAAATTTTATTTGTAAATTTTTCATTGTTATATTGTTACTCAAAATTTTAAAATTTTATACTATTTTTTTTTCTTGTGGAGCAAAATACAATAAAATTAGCATATGGAAAATTTAATATCATCAAGTTCTGGAAGTATTTTCTATTTAATATTTATAAAATTTATATAGGTGAAGTAGATTTTGCGTCAGATGATGATTATTTGTATAAAAGCAATCACAACTCGGAGACAGAGGAGGACATTATAGATAGTGATGTGTATGAAGATAGCTATAAATATTGTTACAGTAAAATATGCTATTCTTTAACCCTTCACTACAAAGGTGGAAAAAACTCCCTTAACTACAAAGGTGGGATCTATTTTACCCCAAATTTTGATTAGCTATATCTCAAAACATATTAAAAATTGAGATCTAAAATTCTGAGTATATATTTAAAAAATATTGGAGATAATAAATACAAAATCTTAGATTAATATTTACTTCCAAAAAAAAGTTAGACAAATTTTCTTAAAGTTACTGAAATAAAATTTTCTTTTTGAGTACTTCCTTTAATTATGGTATTATCACTAAATAAAATTCAAAAAATGCAAATTTTATTAAATATTTTATTAAATCAATGTTGAATAATGATAATTACATAAATTTTTTAAAAAATATCATATATCAAAAAAAATATTAATCATCAAATATCATGTAAAATTTTGAGATAACATTCGCGGCAAATTGTATGCATATGATCTTTACAAATAAATTTTGAACAATTTAAGCAAATTAATGTTGTTTTTTATCTTTCACCCTTGGACACACATAACATCTTCCCTTTTTATTTATTGGAATATGTTTTTCATCAATTATGTTGAGAACGTCCCCTATGTTGTTACGTAATAGTCTATTTATACGAGGGTTCTCGTATCTATTGGTCATAAATGGAGTTATCAGCTCCATACCTAATAATTTTATAAATTTATACCTTTTTATAGTCAACAAATTTTTGGCTTTATAAACTATTAGGGCATTTATTATTGAAATATTTATCATAGTATAAAAAATGGTAAGTGGCCATCTATTTAATCTCCTAGATATGGAATATATTGAACAAAGTTGATCCACTACATCAACTCCTGCTTTGGTTAAATTATAAAAAGTTATAATTTCTGGTTTTAACAATTCACCAGTTGTTACATCAATTTTATTATCATAATGTAATGTTGAAAGCAACACTACATTCTTATACCTTTTTGGTATATATGAAACAATAGTAGTATTTTCTTTGAATCCAAATAAACTTGAATATATTTCTCTTTTTTTATTAAAAAATAATGCAGGTAACTGCTTTTTATTTTTTTTAATAGTCCCTACTATTGCTAGGGAATGTGAAGATAATAAATAATTAGCTAATTCATAGCTAGTAAACCAATTGTCCATTGTAATATTTCTATTACTTTTTAAAATTGGTTGAATTAGTCTTTCAACTACATCAAATGGCTTGTTTGACAATTTGTATGGCCCTTCTGGCTGATTGCCAGTATATAATTCTGTTTTTAATGTATAAAAAGTTCTAGAATAAACTAGAGCATATATTTTCAGACCATATTTTGATGGTTTATTTGGCATATATTGCCTTAATGGACATTTTCCTTTGAATGCAGGAAGCATTTCATCAATAGTAACATATTGTCCAACAGAATAAGAATTATTGCAATTATCATTAAAAATATCAAAAATTTCTCTAATATGTGTGGCTTTATCAAGTGCTTTCCTTGTATTTCTTGTATTCATATCATCAAATCTAAGCACTTTCAATAGAAATTGGAATCTATTTATATTCATAGTATATCTAAATATATCAACACCAAATCCATCCTTATTCCATAAATCTCTTATATTTTGATGACTGGATTTATAAACTCCGGCTATCATTAGCAAACCAAAACCAACTAAGGCATTCAATTCATTTTCATCCATTTTGGCATGATAAACAGAGTCATCTTTTTCAGACTCAATCTTTTGATTTGTATATTTTAAAATTAAATCTGTAATATTAGGTGAAATGAATAATTTGAGCCTTTCTAGTGGTGATTTTGCATTTTTGGCATGAGATTTATCCCCTGGCAAACATGATATTATATTATGGGATCTTGTCCTTTTTTGTGTAGGGCATTCCATATTCCATTTAGTTTTTCCATTTTTACCTTCATATTTTTATATAATTTATTAACTCTTCACTACAAAGGTGGGGAAAATAATACCCCACGGCTTTTATAATCTTGGTAATAAAGAAACCTGAAGATATTTTGACCTAGTTTTTATAGTAGTTTAATATTTTCTTATAAAGAATATATCTACCAAATATCAAGATAATTGATTTGATATTTTTTTAAATATTTGCAATTTGTTGAGCTTGGGGTAGTATAGGTCCCACCTTTGTACTTAATTTTTTTTTTTCACTATTTTTTTTTATTGATAAATATTATTGTATATTACGAACTAATATATAAAATTGAAAAAAAAAATTTTATTTGTAAATTTTTCATTGTTATATTGTTACTCAAAATTTTAAAATTTTATACTATTATTTTTTTTTGTGGAGCAAAATACTATAAAATTAGCATATGGAAAATTTAATATCATCAAGTTCTGGAAGTATTTTCTATTTAATATTTGATATTTATAAAATTTATATAGGTGAAGTAGATTTTGAGTCAGATAATGATTATTTGTATAACAGCAATCACAACTCGGAGACAGAGAAGGACAATATAGATAGTGATGTGTGTGAAGATAGCTATAAATATTGTTACAGTAAAATATGCTAGTCTTTAATAAATTATATGAAAATATGAAGGTAAAGATGGAAAAACTAAATGGAATATGGAATGCCCTACACAAAAAAGGACAAGATCCCATAATATAATATCATGTTTGCCAGGGGATAAATCTCATGCCAAAAATGCAAAATCACCATTAGAAAGGCTCAAATTATTCATTTCACCTAATATTACAGATTTAATTTTAAAATATACAAATCAAAAGATTGAGTCCATTGAAAAAGATGACTCTGTTTATCATGCCAAAATGGATGAAAATGAATTGAATGCCTTAGTTGGTTTTGGTTTGCTAATGATAGCCGGAGTTTATAAATCCAGTCATCAAAATATAAGAGATTTATGGAATAAGGATGGATTTGGTGTTGATATATTTAGATATACTATGAATATAAATAGATTCCAATTTCTATTGAAAGTGCTTAGATTTGATGATATGAATACAAGAAATACAAGGAAAGCACTTGATAAAGCCACACATATTAGAGAAATTTTTGATATTTTTAATGATAATTGCAATAATTCTTATTCTGTTGGACAATATGTTACTATTGATGAAATGCTTCCTGCATTCAAAGGAAAATGTCCATTTAGGCAATATATGCCAAATAAACCATCAAAATATGGTCTGGAAATATATGCTCTAGTTGATTCTAGAACTTTTTATACATTAAAAACAGAATTATATACTGGCAAATAGCCAGAAAGGCCATATAAATTGTCAAACAAGCCATTTAATGTAGTTAAAAGACTAATTCAACCAATTTCAAAAAGTAATAGAAATATTACAATGGACAATTGGTTTACTAGCTATGAATTAGCTAATTATTTTGTATCTTTACATTCCCTAACAATAGTAGGGACTATTAAAAAAAATAAAAGGCAGTTACCTGCATTATTTTTTCTTAAAAAAAAGAGGAATATATTCAAGTTGATTTGGATTCAAAGAAAATACTACTATTGTTTCATATACACCAAAAAGGTATAAGAATGTAGTGTTGCTTTCAACACTACATTATGATAATAAAATTGATGTAACAACTGGTGAATTGTTAAAACCAGAAATTATAACTTTTTATAATTTAACCAAAGCAGGAGTTGATGAAGTGGATCAACTTTGCTCAATATATTCCATATCTAGGGATCAAATAGATGGCCACTTACCATTTTTTATACTATGATAAATATTTCAATAATAAATGCCCTAATAGTTTATAAAGCCAATAATTTGTTGACTATAAAAAGGTCTAAATTTATAAAATTATTAGCTATGGAACTGATAACTCCATTTATGACCAGTAGATACGAGAACCCTCGTATATGTAGACTATTACGTAATAACATAGGGGACGTTCTCAACATAATTGATGAAAAACATATTCCAATAAATAAAAAGGGAAGATGTTATGAGTGTCCAAGGGTGAAAGATAAAAAAACAACATTAATTTGCTTAAATTGTTCAAAATTTATTTGTAAAGATCATATGCATACAATTTGCCGCGAATGTTATCTCAAAATTTTACATGATATTTGATGATTAATATTTTTTTTGATATATGATATTTTTTTAAAAAATTTATGTAATTATCATTATTCAACATTGATTTAATAAAATATTTAATAAAATTTGCATTTTTTGAATTTTATTTAGTGATAATACCATAATTAAAGGAAGTACTCAAAAAGAAAATTTTATTTCAGTAACTTTAGGAAAATTTGTCTAACTTATTTTTGGAAGTAAATATTAATCTAAGATTTTGTATTTATTATCTCCAATATTTTTTAAATATATACTCAAAATTTTAGATCTCAATTTTTAATATGTTCTGAGATATAGCTAATCAAAATTTGGGGTAAAATAGACCCCACCTTTGTAGTTAAGGGAGTTTTTTACACCTTTGAAGTGAAGGGTTAAATTAGTTTTAATTTTATCGCAAATAGATGCCAAAAAAATAACAAGCTTAACCCCTTAAGACTTATATCCCCCCCCCCAGATAAAAAAAAAGTATAATGGCGCGCACAAATTGAGCGTTTCAAACGCTGCGTTGCAAGGGCAAATAATGTATTTCAAATGGCCTCGTGCAAATTGGTAAAATTACCGTTTGGCGTTAGCAACAATTTTTAAAAAAACGCAAATAGGTTTGTTTTTTCATTACTTTTTTTTATTCTTCGCTTTGTAATATTATATAATATGTAATATAAATAACTTACTTATAATCCTGAAAGGGAATATTTAGAAATTAATGAAATAAGAAGGCAGACGATAATAAAAATTTCAAAGATAAATCCTTTTTTTATAGAATTTATAAATTTTGAATCGACGATATTAATAAAAAGGCAACCTCAATTTAAACAAGGGATGCGTTACGTTTTTTATTAAAAAATTACGGCGAAACGTAAATGCTTAATTTGTGTGCACTATAAATAATTTGAGGTAAATTTTAAAAAAAATGAACATTTAAACTATATTCATTTAAGTAGGAAAAATAATTAAACCACCAAAAATTTCTTGTGATTAAATATTTCTACTGAAAAATTATAAAAAATAAAGTCTGATAAAAATATACAAAAAATTATCCTTGATTATTTAAAAAATTTATTCGTAATTATTTTTAAAAAAATCTGAGCGCTTCAATTAATCCCAGGGATTCAAACCGAACCTGGACCTTTAAACCGGTATTTTAAATGGCATTCGCGAGTAACAAGTTAATCGATAAAGCTTATTTTACCGTAAACTGGATTGATTTAGACCAAAAAAATATATATGTATAATCTAGTTTTTAAATATCGGAGAGCCGGATTTTTACTCATATCGGTATGGGCTTGTTCCCGTGTTTCATATCGACTTCCCCATTTTTATAAAGTTTCTTGCTTTTAATTGGTGTTATTATTTTAAACATGATAATGATAGTATAATTACGTGTCAAAAGGAGTGTGGGGGGGGGGGGGGAGAGAAGTAAAGATTTTTGTTTATAAGTTTTGTTAAACGGCTCGATTTGAGCCGATTTTTTTAAAAAAAAACATGGCTAACTCAATATTTTATACAGAAAAAAAATATTACGCAAACCTTAAAAATTTTGGTCATGAATGGTACTAAGGTTTGACACCCATTTGCGATCTAAAGACTTAGGCACTAATTTTCTATCTAAAATAATGAGTTACGCTAAAACTGTAGGAGCTATTCGGATTCTCCCACAATTAATAATAATCGTGAAATTTTTATTTGGGTGACTTGTATTATATTTTTTTTAAAATTAATTATAATCTAAACATAGGGATGGATGAAATGAATTCAAAAAAATAAGTGAATAGGAAAAAGAAAGGATTATAAGAAAAATAAGAGTCAATTGTTATAGCAGAAAGATTAATCCAATCGACTCATTTTTAATATAAATACCGATAATTTTGGTGGATAAATATTTTGTTTGAAAAAAAAATAAAATTAATATTGATCATAATAATAATATAATCTATAATAAGGATCAATAATTATAAGAAATGTAGATAATTATATATAATATCGGCAGAAACTTTTATTTTAATTGAAACCTGTGGTTGATACAGTGTCGTTAAAAAGACGGATTCGGGTCGATTTTAAAAAACGGCTAACTCAACATTATATCCAGGAAAATTTTGCCCAAGCATCGCCAATAAATGTTCAATCTCATGTGCCATCTAAGAGCAAAATCTTTAGGCTTGCATAATATTTTTTTCTGGATAAAATAATGAGTTATCCGTTTTTTTAAATCGACTCAAATTTAGCCGTTAACAACACTAGTTGATACCAAAATAACATTATGCAAGCCTAAAAATTTTGCACATAAGCTGGCAGAAATACTTGGGACATGTATTTGACAAATCAAGATGCTATGATCAATATTATTTGAGCTAAAATCTTAATCGGGCCATTTTTAAAAATCGACCCAAATCGGGCCTTTTGACAACACTAAGTTGATACTTAAAATGGTAGTTAACCTTCAGAATTTTTTATTTATTTAAAATTGAGTCTACATTTATGCAGGATACAAATATATATTGATAAAAATTTAATATAACTTAAAGTGTTAAAAATGAAAGATTGTTGTTTGTTAATTTTTATTTTCTTATTATCTTCTTTTATTTTTTTTTTAAAAATATACCTTTATAAACTTCATAATTTCATTATAAAAATGATAAAAATGATAAATAAAATATTTAAAAAAATGAATAATATTGATAAATTATATATTGCATTATTTTTAGGTATCGTATTCGGTTAGGTGGCAGTGATTGAGAGATCTCTAAATCTAATATATGCAAGAGGAGATGCTTCCATTAAAAAAAAATTACGTGACGTTCAATGTTTAGTCTTAAAAAAATATAACGAAAGAAAGATTTAGGGGAGGTTCAGTTGCACCAATAAGAGAGGAAGGTGAAGGGAATTTTTTTTTAAAGCCATCTTTAAAAATTTGAGCCACCTGAGATTGTGAAGGTTAGTGTATCACTGGGGAGGCTCCAAAGAAAAATCGATAAAAGATTTTCAACCCTTAATTTAAAATACAAGGTTGTAGTTCGGAACATTACGTTTCCCCAGCTCGCTCCAAAATATACTTTCTTCCCCAAATAAATATTTACGCTATACGTGATTAATCAACGCCTAGCCCTATAATGTTGTGCACACATGAATATATGGTGCATCAGATAAATTTTTTTAAATATTTAATAATTCGGTATCGTCCCTCTAGTTCGTATTTTTTTTAATAGGTGTTTTGTCGTATTTCCAATTGATTCCCAAAATTTTCAATTGATTCCCAAAATTTCCAATAGATCAACAAATATCAAAGCTTATAAATTTAGAAATTAATATATTATTTAATTTTCATATATAATAATTTATATTTTTAAGAAAACTAAACATAATAAAGATTGTTGCTAAACTTAATGTTACTCAATTTAGCATCACCATAAAACATTTAGAAACTTGCAAACCAATCCAAAGTAAATAATTTTGATTAATATTTTATCTTAAATTATATCCTTAATTACTGAATTAATGCTTGTGTATTTATATTATAGTATCAAATGTATGTACTGCAGAATTCCAAAGTAAAATGTCAAATTAATATTTACAATAATTTTTCAAAGCCATTAATCTACAAGGTCCAGTTTTGGATAACACAAATAGTCCAAGTAAATTTTAATTATATTGGTATAACTATTTTTAACAAAGTTATGAACCAAGAAGTCTTGGAAGAAATAGATGCCCATAACAGAAATACCATTACTCCAAGTAAATAGTATCATTTAGATATTTATATCAAACAAAGATATTATTCAAAACAATTCTAACAATCAAATGGTTCAACATAGTTTGATTAATTATCTATTCTAACAAATATTTAATTCAATTTATACATTATCATGCAAAAAAAAAGGAGATTGCATTTTTATATATTAATTAAAATTTTTATTATCAGATATTTGATAATAAATTTTATTAATATTATATCAAAGATATATTTATATACAATAGTATTAAGAGTTTGCTAAAATATTGTAAATTATCTGCAATTTATTTTTTAGTATATACTGGTCTTGTATTAATATAAATATTAATTACCATTTAGCTATTTAAATAATAATATAAAATAAAAAGCATTTTTTAATTTATTCGTCAAATCTGTTTCAGCGTTTCAAAATTATACAAATTTATAATCGATTCAAATATATTTGTGGCCATTTTAGGTCATTTGACGTTTTTTCATACATGTTCATTGTTCATACGAAGAGGTGGACCCTAACCGGAATTTTTTTTATCAAAAAAAATAAAAATCATAATTCGTATTTATCATTTATCCAGTAAAGGAGATTTTCTTTTGCCTGCTGCCCACTTACTAAAAAAAAAGAATTAAGAAAAGATAATCACAATATAATTTAAAATTGGTAAAAAAAAATTATATAGCAATTGTTATTGTGAAAGCTCAGGTATATATATACTACAAATAGAAATAACTTCCGATATCGATGATCCCTATTAACTTCTTTAGACCCCCCCCCATCCCCAAATACAAACTTATTTATCCTCATAAATAGCGGATTCGGGGGATCCGGATTAAAGAGAATCGTTCCTACACTCCCCTACCCCACCCATCCTTTTTTTTCTACCAGTTCGTAATAATTTTATCAAAAAAAAAAGATATAGCTTCTAATTAAATTTGAAAACAAGTTTTTGTCGATTTAGTGATAAATAATATAAAGAATTTTTTTAATTTAAAAATAAATAAAAAATAAATTTATTTTGTAAATATCCGTTTCAAAAATATATTATTTAAAAAAAGTATTAATTAATTAACAGGGGAAGCGAGAAAATAACTATATACGCGCGTTAGATAATTTTAAAATTAGGATATCTAATTAGTGATCTGCATCGGGCCTAATTTTTCAAGCCTGGCCCGGCCCGAAATTTTTTTTAAAATGTTTTGCCGGTTCGGTCCGAACCCGAAATTTATTTTTAAAAAATTTATGGCCCGGCCAGGCCCGATTTTATTTAAATATAGAAATTAATTTTTATAATTACTTAAAATAAAAGACATATGTTATATAGCGTTTAGTTTCAATAAATTAAATCAAAAATTTTTATTTTACATAAAAAATTCAATATAAAATTGATAAATTTGGATATATTTAATAAAATTTCCAAGGTCCGACCCGACCCAAAATTTTTTAAAAATATTAGGCCCGGCCCGAACCCGATTATTTTAAATAGAATTATGCCCGAGCCCGGCCAGAAGCCCATTCGGGCCGGGTACGGGCCGGGCCTAACTTTGCAGATCTCTAATATCTATCTATAGTGTAATTTTTTTTTCAAATTTACGCTTATATGTCAAATTTAAAATGTGTTATATACGATTTAATTTCGTAATTTTATAATAAAAAATTGTATATGCGAAAGTAATAGGAATAAATCAGTCATTTAATAAATTACGAAAAACTTTTGCTCAACAATTGGTCAAAGTTTCGAAAGCGTTGATAAAGACAGGGTACTTCAGTGTAGTTGTGTAATGGAGAAATTGGCTCAATCTACAGGGGCGTATTGGAGAAAATTTGTTAACATTAAGACGTTTTAATTTTTATACTAGGTTTCTTTTCAAATTTGAGCATCTATATTTTTAGGAAAAGCCCCGATAGCTAAAGTGATATTTTTCGGCTAAAAACTCTGTTTGACCGATTTTTTAGCCGGCTAAAAAAAATATAGTAACTACCCAACTATAGTACTCAAGTCCCTCGATTCCTGACTGCGAGAAAGGTTGCACCTTGAACAACAATTTCAAAAGCAAATTCTAGTCACGTATGGTCTATAGCGCAGCATATCAATAACAGATTTTTTTAGTACATCCGGGTATACAACTTTTTTTTTTTAAAAAAATTTTCAATAGAATTGCTATTTAGATATGTCTATAATGTAATGACATTTTGCCTAATCAATATGTTGACAATATTAAATAAAAATATATTTTTTAAAAAAATTCTTTCTCTCATATTATCATTTTTAAAAATAAATCCTTATCTAATTCGCAACCTTACAAGAGAGATTAAGAAATATAAATTTAATAAAATCAACCATTCCTTTGTGCTTTAACGTTTTTTATAAAAAAATTTAAATGTAAATTATATGTGGATATTTATGATCAAGATTCTATTTCTTCTTTTTCTTTTCAAACTTTTCTCTCGTTCTTATCGCCTAACCTGAATTCATAGTGGCGTGATTGCGATCGCATTTAAACTATTTCTTTTATGAGATATTATTTATTAAAATCTATCAGATTTAGAAATCTCAGTTAAATCATCGAATCGCGACTAGAATTCAAGGTAGATCTAGCTGCTTTAAATATCTAAGTACCGGATCCATTTTTAAATTTAAGGGAACAAGCCTGGATGTGAAAAAAAAGGAAACTTTCGCCGGATTAGGCACGGGTTAGGAATTTTTTTTGGTTCAGCCAGGTCCAGACAGGTTTAATCCAGTCAGGGCTCAGCTGATAAAAAAAATATATTTCAATTCGTGATCTAAATCGGGCATACTTTTTTCAAGACTGACCCGGTATGAAATTATGAAAACATTTGTCCGGCCCGGCCCGATCACGAACAATTTTTTTTTATTTGTCCCGAAAAGTCCGACCCGAATTTATTTAAAATATAGAAAAAATTTTAAAAATATTCTACATATAGAAAATATATTGGCGCCTCTTGCAGGAATTTTAAAATATAACAATTTCACGAAATTGAAGGATATCATATTTAAAAATTTAAACCCGACTTGAATCAAACCTCAAAAAAAATACTATGCTTGAGTCATGTCCGGGTTTAGGGAAAAAAGAGCCCTGAACTAGGGTTCCAAAAAAAGTCTCGAACCCGGGTTTGGAAAAATGTGTCCCGAACCCGAGTTTGGGAAAAAGTCTCGAACCCGGGTTTGGAAAAATGTGTCCAGAACCCGAGTTTGGGAAAAAGTTTCGAACCCGGGTTTGGAAAAATGTGTCCAGAACCCGAGTTTGGGAAAAAGTCTCGAACCCGGGTTTGGAAAAATGTGTCCAGAACCCGAGTTTGGGAAAAAGTCTCGAACCCGGGTTTGGAAAAATGTGTCCAGAACCCGAGTTTGGGAAAAAGTCTCGAACCCGGGTTCTACGCAACAAATTTATAAACTTAAATATTATTTTATATATATTTTAATGATATATTATTTAAACGATACATTATTTTAGAAGAAAGGTTTTATGGACAAAAGATGAACAAAAAAATATCATTAAAAGAATACATGAGGGAGGTGTATCTACAGTTCCAGGTATAGCTATGGGAGGGCATCTGGGGATTAATAAAACTAATCAGATAATAAGGGAAAAGTAAAAATATGCAATATTATCTTATTTAATTTTTTACAGCTTTTATTGGTTGGGCAGCTATAAAGACATTAGGGAGTTTATCAAATCCTGTGAGGTTTGTCAAAAATAAAGCAGTGGTTTTGATAAAACTTCAAATGTGTTGCACAATATTAAAGTGGTTCAAAATCTTGGTATCAAATTGGCATTGATTTAATCCAGATGCCAGAATCTAAAGAGAATTATAAATATATTTTATGTGCCATATGCTATTCCTCTCACCAATGTTATGAAGTAATAAAATTAAAAATACCAATTTTAACTTATTTGAATTTTATTAATCTATTAATGCATATTTTTTTTAAATTTAATAAAAAAAAATATATATTTTAAAGATTCAGATTAATGATCAAGGTAGGGAATTCTGTAACAATGTTTGTACATAATTCCATAATAACCTCAGCCTACCCACCCACAAGCAAATGGTTTGGTTGAGAAAGTTCACAGAACATTCCAGTAGGGCTTGATGAAAATAATCCACATGATGCGGAGTTTGTCGATCCAAGTCCCCAATAGGTATTGAATTTCGGATATATATTAGAATTATTTTAAAATGCTTTTATTATAAATAATGCATTGCCTTTATGGCTTGATGATGAAAATAATCCACATGATGCGCAGTTTGTCGAACCAAAGGCCCCCATAGGTATTGTATTTCGGATATATATTATAATTATTTTTAAATGCTTTTTATTATAAATAATGCATTGCCTTTAGATATTGGTTCCCAAATTGGCTTGATGATGAAAATAATCCACATGATGCGCAGTTTGTCGATCCAAAGTCCCCCATAGGTATTGTATTTCGAATATATAATTTTTAAATGTTTTTAATATAATAAAGCAGCACATCAAAATGAAGATCAAGGTACTAGTTCCCAAAATGTTGGTCTTGAAGATAAAAATATTCAGCTTGACATGGATTTTATCAATCCAAAGACTCACATATGTAATATTATTTCTGATATATATATTTGATTTATTTTTTAATTTATTACGTATACTGATTTGGATGATATTTTGATAATAAATAAATTAGAAAGTGTCCCTAGATATTTTTTTCCTACAACAAAGGCATGGAAAAAATATCATGTTAAATATATGGTCTGAAGCCTCCCAAAACCTATGGGGGACTTTGAATCGACAAACTACGCATTGTGTGGATTATTTTCATCATCAAGCCAATTTTGGGAACCAATATCTAAAGGCAATGCATTATTTATAATAAAAGCATTTTAAAATAATTCTATATATATCGAAATACAATACCTATGGGGGACTCAAACTCCGCATCATGTGGATTATTTTCATCATCAAGCCAATTTTGGGAACCAAAATCAAAGGCAATGCATTATTTATAATAAAAGCATTTATTTTCGTGATGTAGACTATGGGAAACAACTTGGTGAACCCACCATCCTGGAGAAAATTGAAGGTGATGGGAATTGTTTTTAATATAAAATTTCATTTTATTCTGCTTTATATAATTTAGGGCTATTAGTTTAGAGATCACTGGGGTTCAAAATTCACATATTATTCTCAGGCAATGGTTAGCACAATTTATGCTAACATTTGAGATGGAAAAGGTTTATTTACGTCATAAACAAAAAATGTAAAAATTTATGTCTTAAATAATGTTGTGACAGGGCGGATATGGGCTTCTGACACAGAAGTCAGGGCAATGGCTACAATGTTAAATACACCAATTTTTACATATATAAAATATAATGATAATTTTATATGAACCCGATATGACCCTTTTTATATTCGCGTCGCGATAATATAAAAAATATTTAATATTTTTATTTATATTAAAAAAATGGAGGAAACCATTTTGAAAATGTTTCAGATTGCAATCATTTATCTTCCATCATTATTTAATATATTTTTATTAAAATTTATTTATTTTTAATATAAAAAATATATAAATATATTTCATTCTTTATAATTTATATTCGGCCTGATATATTTTTTCATGAAAGTTGTAGTAAATATAATTAAATATATTCATTATGATGTGCAACATTTGATAATAATTATATTTTTTTATGTTTTTATTAAATTTAAAATTATGTATAAATATTTATATCAATAAAGTTCTTCGTTTATTTTTTCGATTCTTTCGTTAATGCCAAATGAAGCTTATTTTAATATTGGTGACCCAATTCAGCATAAACATTACGATTAACCATTTAGACTAAGAAATTATCTTACTTATTCTTCGCAGTGTTTACAGAGGGTGGGTACTGATATTTAGAGGGAGAAAAGACGGTTTGTCTCTAGTAAATTTTCTGTAATATTTGGAAATTTGTCAAATTAATGTCTATCGAGAAGATGTTCCTTGTATAAGAAATCTGAGGAGGAACTTAATAATCATGGGATCGGAATATTTGGTTTTGGACCTACTAAAAACTTGTTTTACAATATTATTTTAAAAATTTCAGTTCTGTAATTTAGCATGTTAGTAAGGATCTTTTCCCTATTACTAAATGATAATTTTTTTCACCCGCCCGTCCATACTTTGAATGGGTGTGTTCGGGCTTTTAAAATATTTTCAAAAATGGGTGGGCCTTGACGGTAGAACTTTTGATATTTTTCAGGCGAAATTTATTAAAAATAATAGTTCCATATTATGAAATGTTTAATTTAAAAAACATTAAAATAAATAAAGAGCTAAACTAGGAATTAAAATAATTTTGAACATTAGGCGATGAAATGCAGACTAAAAATATAAAATACAAACTATAGATGAGCGGCATGGGCTTTTTAGATATTATACAAGATAAATAAAAAAAGCAAAACAATTTTTTAAAAAAAGAGATGTACATGTATTTGAACCTGCATTTTGAGGGTAGGTAATATAACTCTTACCAACAAGGCTACACAACAACACATATATTACTTCATTTTATTAGTATATAATATTATAAATAATCTACTATTTATTTAAATTCATATATATTAAAAAGAGAAATGATATTATATCGTTAACTTCAATGATGTTAAAATAAAGATGAGCTCCTGAAATGAAACAATATACTTGCAAAGCGTTATTAAAATATTTTTCTAAACATATATTATAATTAAGTTAGGTGTTTGTCTCTATATTATATTTTATATCCTTAACTTTAATGATGTTCCTTGATTTTACATCTCTCATTATTCGACTTAATAATCTTAAAAAAAGATGAGCTCTATGAAACAATATATCTCTTGCAAAGCGTTATTAAAATATTATTCTAAAACATAGATTATAATAATACTACTATTATATCTATATTATATTATTAATATTTGAATTCATGTCATGAGAATTTTTGCTTTAGATTTATCACTTCAAAAACATTGGAGGCCATTTAAATCAAAATCTCACAACCCATCCGTGGGATTTTGATTGCGTGAGATTTCGAAATCTCATAGATCACTTTCACACGTTACACCGGTTCTTTTCGGTTCGTATCGCTTATTAAAATTTGGATTTTTTTAGAAAAATAATCAGAAAATATTTTAATAATTGCCCTATAATACAAGGGTGTGAACCCGAACACGGGTTCAAAAATTTTAAATTTAGTAAAAATTTCGATAACAGGAACTTAATCGAAACCGATTTTTTAAGAGGGGTCCGAAACCGCCCCAGATCTATTACCCCGGGTTCAATGAGTTTTCCTTAAATCGATCTCTGTTTGGTCTGTGGTTAGGCCCGGCCAAACAATTTTGAATTCTGGAACCCGGGTTAGGGTTCACCTCTTAATCTATTTTTAAAAAAAAAATAAAGATGAAATATGCGTAAAATGAGAAGAATAAGGAAGGAAGAGTAAGCCTAGCGAAGATCTGTGGAGAGAAGACTGCCATTTAAGCTTACATAATTACACTTTATGATAGATATGTTCAGCCTCATGTCTGTAGATCTATTTCCTTCAGAAACAATAAAAATTGCGAAAAATCGGGGGCTTTTAAAATCCAGGCCATGCCTAAAACTCAGAACCTATACAGGTTTCTGCTAAAAAAAAAAATTTTTTTAATGCATATATTTTCTATTAATTAAAAAAAAAACATTTCTAAATCTATCGCGAAACATATATGAAAATAAATAATTTTTGATTTTATTTTTTTTAGCGGAATTATTTTTTTTAGCCCTATATCTAAATTATGATTTTATTATTTTTTTAAAAAAAACTTTATATTTTTGGCTAGTTGAACCATAATAGTGATCATAAATTGAAACGTTTTCGTTTGGCGTTTCATTTCAATATATCGTATCTTAAATGGTAACGCCCAAATTGGTAAGCGTTTTCTATTTCGAGTTTTAAAAAAAACATAAATTTTTTATATTTAAAATAACAAACAAAAAAATAATAAAACATCACCCATATCCAAACTATAGCTTTTACCTTCATCTTTTAGTTCGATAAAAATATTGGATCAAGAAAAAATAGATAATTGAATATTGACAGAAAATTGGCCTCATTTTATAAGAATAAAGACATATATATTTTTTGTGATTAATAATTAATTCAATATAAAGAAGAAAAAATAATAATCCAGTCAAAGCCAGGAATAATTAAATATAATAAAATTTATCTTAAATATTATTATTCGCTTAAATTTAGGGCCCAGAAAGATTATTCCGTTTCCGTATTTATTTAAAATATATTAGGATGTCGAATCGGAAAACCCGTTAAAGCCGAACCAATTATAAAGGTATTTAACGGATTCATAATGGGTTTAAAAAAATATAGGAATTGCCATAAAATATAAATAAACAATTTAATAACTTAAATATGTGAGGTTACGTTTAATTAAGTTATATTCGTTATTTTTTAGCTGAACCGAAATAATTTTTTTCCAAGCCCGATAATAAAAAAATAACCCGGTAGGGATAAAAAAATTGGAACCGAAGTCCCTAAAATATATATATGTATGCGAATAGAATACAACGATATCTCATTATTCGATTTTTTTTGGATGAAATATAGTTAATCTAATCTTAGTAGTTAGGCTATAACCAAAGCTAACACAAAATGTATTGGTAAAAAAAAAATAACAAGGAGATTTTTTATGCCGGGGCCGGGAAACCCTTTTTCAAATAATTCCACGATCAGGTTCGAGACGCGCCAACCTCTCTAATCGTAATATATTATAGAGGGGTAAACGCAAAAACTCGTTATCGAAATAAATATTCAACTTTCTGTGAATGGATAAAATCATTATGATGTGTAAAATTGGCGTATTATTATTTACTCGATTTTTATAATAATTAATAACCAGATTCCCGAAAATCTTATATTTTTTCTTAACTAATCTCTAAATGTTCTTGGCAGCTTAATTCGGAAAAACCTCTTGAAAATTTTTATTCTAATTCAAATAGAGGTGATACTCTCAATTTCCATTATTATCGTTGATTGTTCTAGCTCTAAATATGTATTTTGCTTATCATCCACCAATTTTTATTTATGAATATAAGCCTAAGCATTTAAATAATGATGTAGATTTTTTTTTAAATTTTATTATGAAGGAATGATAATTTTTATAATTTAAAATAATTATTATATTAGCTCGTAGGTGAATTAATATTATAATTACTAAATTAAAAATCTAAGAATCATTCTTTTTAAATCTGTTTTGCCCCAGGCATACCAGGAATTTGCTATGGGGGTAAAAAAAATTAGAATTATTCTAGAGTTATTTAGGTACGACTTCTAATACACAAATATAAGATTAATGCATAAAAATTCTTAAAGAAGCAAATTATAAATTTAAAATGTAAAATTCAATTCTTTGAGATTGAGCTAATTCAATGATTTCATCAGTGTTTGGTTTCACCTCACTATATATATAAATAAAGGCTTGCTCATTCAAATTATTGAGGATGTTAAATAGTTCAATTTGAGTCTATTTTTAAAAATGTTTAACTCAATACTTTTCAAAAAAATATTACTCTGAAGACTTTTTTCATAGATCGCACAAAGGTTTGGACTCTTAGGCAAAATCTCGAGGCTAAGGCAATATTTTTCTAGATAAAGACTTAAATTGAGCCATTCAACCAATAGTACTTCTCAGGTATATTTTTACTCTTGTAAAAGGAGAAAATGTTTTTTCACTAGGGTAGTATAAAGAGTAGAGTTGCTAAAATATATTATGATTTTTATATATTAGGATAATAGTCTAATATTTGATAATTATGGGAAGGATCTATACATTTTTTGAAATATTTATCAACCCCTTTTACCATTAGTTGCCTATAGCTAGTATTGCATCATGGGATACTTTGACATCCTCGCAATGCTAAATATTGGATTTTTTCTCTATCAGGATGTGAAATAAATTTAGATGATTTTGTAGTAATAATAATTGCAAATTTGATGATTAATCAAGACTTTCATTTATTTAAATAATAAAAATTGAAGTGGGAGATAAAGAGATTAAATAGTTTGACCAATATTAAATTCATAGAGCTTTGCATTTAACTCAACAATGACTTATAATTTATTTAATTTGTCATCTACATTTGCCCTAATTTCCTTAGGTTCCAATATTATGTTCTCAGCTATTCTCATAGTCTTAATCAAATTGATGATATTTAATAAAATATTTTCTTTGGTTTTGTAATAAAAGATCATATGATTTGGTGGGAAATTTTAGAGTGTTGGATAAATATAAAAAGATTAATTGAAATATATAAATATTAGTTAATAGCATATATTAGTAATATATTTATTTCTGCTGTGAATTTAATAAATAAATGTAAGTTGAAATATATATGC